ATAAAAAGAGATTTAAAAATAATAATTATATAGAAAACTATATATTAGTTTAAGTTTAATACTATTATATATAAAATTATATATTATAAAATATATATCTTTTTTCTTCTTCTTAATATAAATATATACTATATAGAAAATATTAATACTTTAATATTACTTTAAGTTAGTTTTTATAGATTATATTATTAAAATTATTATATATTTATCTATAAGTTTATTAAATTCTATTATAATATATATAAACCTATTATATTACTCTTTATAGGCGTTTTTAAGCCCTTCTAGCTACTTATATACCTTTTACTATATAAAGCTAGCTTCTAGCTACTTTAAAGTAAACTATTTATATAAGCCTACTAAACTATAGGCCTCTAAGTTAAACTAAAGTATATAAGTAAAGTATATTTATATACTATATAACTAGTATTTTAACCTAATATAGTAATAAAATTAGTATTATTCCTAATACTATATATAAATAGGTTTCCTTTTAATTTAACTTAAAAGTAAATTATTAAAATTTAAACTTTAAGTATATAGTTTACTTAAAAAGTAATTATAAATAGCTTTATTTATTTAGGTTTTTATACTCTATTTAATAGAGTTATAAAATAATAAAGCCTAATTAAATTTTTCCTCTTTTATTCCTCTTCTTTAAGCTTTTTTATTTATTACCTCTTTTAAAATAGTATTTATTACCTCTATAGTAATAATAGTTTAAGCTTTTTATAAAAACTTTTAAAATAGCTATAACTTTAAAGCTATAGCTAAATAAAATAAATATTACTTTAAAGTCTTCTTTAGTAATAAAGATATTATACTCTAAAGGCCTTATTATTTTAAGGGTAATTTAATTTAGCTTCTCTTTTGTAATATATAGCTTTAAAATAATAATATTATTATTATTATTTAAACTACTATTTAATTAAGTTATAAAACTCTATTAAATATATATTACTATATATATAATAATATTTATTAAAGTAAATACTATTTAGCTAGCTATTTTAATATATTAAGCTATACTATATATAGAAATACTATCTTTAATATCTTATTAGCTATTAATACTTTAAAGAAAGATTAATAGAAAAGGGGGGAAATAAGAGTTAAAATATAGAGGTAAATATAGCTATATAGTAATAGTAATAGAGTAAATAATAAATAAAGTAGAGTTTTAGCTTAATTAATATATAAGTAGATGCTTTTTTATAGGAGCTACCCTAGGCTTTTTTATAGGAGCCACCCCACCTCTAGGTTGAACGGTGAGTGTGCTTTCGCCTGGACCCATACTAGTACGTATCCCGTGACAGACCACTTGGGACCTAGACCGCGCTGTAAGCTGGGGGGAAAAAAAGGAAAGAAAAAGTTGCTCTCGGCTCGCCCCTGCCGGGCGTCTCCCTGGCTCGGAATTTTTTTGACAACCGGGAAATCCTCTCCTCCCTTTAATCGCCTCTTCCCTCTTTCCCACTTTATCACAAAACAAAACTTCGACACACCACTGCAGGACACCTTCAAATCGTCCCAAGCACCCAAGTTCTGCTCACACGGCCATTTACTGCTCTTTGTCTGCACAGACGAGCGAGTCCTCCATCGGATCGATCTGATATCAAATTTGTGTTCGTTCGATTTCCCAGAAAACAGCCCATATCCTGTTTCCGGGCAATAGAAGGTCCCCCATCTAGGGTTGCCATCCCAAACGACCACCATCATCACCATCACCAGAAAGGAACTCCTCATACCTCGCCAGATTCTTGCGCCAGTCGACATACAGTCTCGTTCGTTGCCGAATAAACCGCTTTCACTCTGGCTTCGATCCGACTGCCCAATACTTTCGCGTCTGAACGCTCGACTGCCCAAGGTCGCAAGACCCAGCTTATTTATCCATTCAACCTCAACACCACCAAGTTGGCTTCACTCGCCGCTGACGTTACCTCCCCCTCCCGTTCACTCCAAGGTCCTGGCTTCTGGGTCTACAGTGGAGTGAACAAGAAGCCTCCATAATTGGCTTGTTCTACGTCAACCCGACTATTTTGGAACCTCTCAAACCCGGCATTGTCGCAGCGCCTTGTAGCTGGTTTCCCCAGCGCATTCTCACGGCTTTCGGGGAACGGCACACAAACTGTCTGCCTTGGAAGTTAGCTGCTCCATTTAGCGGACAGCGCGCCGCGGTCGCGCAGGGTGCAATCGACTCCGGTCGGCGTCGTACGTTGTTGAACGTATCAGTTATGGGTATCGCCATCTGAGCCTAGTGTTGCGGAGGCATTCCAAGAGAACGAGCCTGGGTCTTGGATCTCGCCGTTCTCTCACGACCTTGACGAACTTTTGAGCATTTTGCCCGTCTTGATCGACACATCAACAGCATCACAAGCATAACACCCACATTTTCCAGTATGTCTGACCACGAGGAGACTGTGTCGGAGCACGGGTTCAAGACACCCATCCCCGAACTCGACGACCATCGTCACCAAATGACATATACCCCTCATCTGGACCGTCCTCGCCGAGGCACTTTCGACACGCTCTACGGAGCTCGTCTGCTAGGACCCGAATCAGCCATGGGAGATCCGTCAGCGAGCATTCGGGTTCGGGATTTCGAGGAGGCAGTCGTTGACGACGAAGGCGCAGACGTGTCGCCAACCGCGCGTCGTGTGCGCCGACCGACCGTTGAGACAATGACCGATCAGCGATCGTTGTCACCACCAAACTCCGTCAAGGCCTTCGCGGAGGCACGTCGACGGGAGCGAGGCTTGTCCGTCTCCGAGTCCAAGCCCGAGAGGAACGGCGACGACAACGAGCTCCACCGGGCCGTCTCTATCAGTAGCCGTCGAAGCCACCGCAGTAGACCTCACACGGTCGACGACGGTGCTAGTCTCGCTACCAACAAGTCTGCTGAAGACGACGTCTGCTTTCCGGTCCCGGATGGTCGGCGCAAGGACCAGTTGTACATCGACTTTGACTATCTTGAAAACTTCGTGCAATCGGACCGGGCCTCGCGGGTTGAAAGCCGTCAAGACTCTCTACGTGCTTTCCCGGATCTCAGGCAGCAAGCAACTGAGCCTGCTCAGCCTCAGCTGCAGCTCCACACTGTGGATGGGGATATTCTCGATATGCCATCGGACTCCTCAACGGGCCAGGATGCCGAGAAAGAGCCTGCCGTCGATGAAGAGCCCCAGGCGAAACCTGAGCGTCTCCAACAACCGGTGGATCCCAACCGCTTCAGCTTCTTTTCTTCGGCGTGGGAATCGACGATCCACGCGGCAGAGCTTGGGGACCTTGTTCTTCCTGGCGAAGACCTTCGTGGTCTCTTCGCCCTGCCCGCCGATGAATCGGATGGTGTTTGGTGGCTGAACGTCAATAACCCCACCAAGGAGGAGGTCGTGGCCATCTGCAAGGCGTTCGGTGTTCACCCGCTCACCATCGAGGACATCACGACTCAGGAGGCCCGCGAAAAGATTGAGCTTTTTCCCTCGTACTACTTTGCGAGCTTCCGATCTTTCCACGCGGTCGATGAAGATGACGGCATAGAGTACGAGCCGTTCAACATCTATGTGGTCGTCTTTCGCGAGGGCACCCTTAGCTTCAGCTTTGAGCCCAATGCTCACGCGTCTCATGTTCGGAAGCGCATTGCGTTGCTCAAGGACTACGTTGCCCTCAGCAGCGACTGGATTTGCTATGCTCTCATGTAAGTTATTTTTCGACTGCGCAAGGGCTCTATTGGACTGACATTGGTGACTCAGTGACGACATTGTGGACTGCTTTGCTCCGGTTATCCGCGAGATTGAGTTGGAGGCAGACGCCATCGAGGATGGTGTTTTCGTCGCCCGTGAGGACGACTCTAACGCCTTCCTCCGCTCAATCGGTCGCGTCCGCAAGAATACCATGGCTCTGATGCGCCTCCTTGGAGGCAAGGCCGATGTGCTTCGAGGCTTCACCAAGCGTTGCAACGAGAACTATAAGGTCACTCCCCGTATGGACATTGGCCTCTATCTTGGTGACATTCAGGACCACGTTGTCACTATGGTTACGAACCTTGGCCATTTCGAGAAGATTTTGTCCCGCTCTCACAGCAATTATCTCGCCCAGCTTTCCATCAACAGCATTTCTCAGGGCACCCACACGAACTTGGTTCTGAGCAAGATCACGTTCTTGGCATCAATCCTCGTCCCGCTGAATCTCGTCAGTGGTTTGTTTGGCATGAACGTGAAGGTTCCTTTTGGGGGAGGCGAGAATCTCATTCCATTCTTCACCATTTTGGGAAGCTTGATCTTCTTCTGTATCGTGAGCTTGACTTTGGCTCGCAAGTACAAGTACATCTGAAAACCAAGAAAGAATAAGTCGCAAATGGCGCGCTTATACGCTTTTCAGGACTGTTTGCATGGAGCTCGATGAAGTTTAACGACAATCGGATTAGTTAGTAATAATATGAATTGTTCTTTCATTGGTATCGAGTTTTGAAATAAAAGTTGCCTAGCGCCATTCGTTAGGTTGACATGAAAAACGTAGTTGCCTGATACTTTGAATGTGTGCACGCTTCACGAGACTTGGCCGGGTGACATGACAGAAGTTTTATGATATGCAGAGTTCTTGCACCGAGGCAGAGTGCGAGGCTCATGGAGCTTCGCGGAGGGACGGGTGCAGCCAATGCCGGTGTGTGCCCATTGAAGGAAGTGGGGACGTGGAAAAAAGCTGTACTGAGTGTGGGCTGGCACCAGTGCAGGCGGCCGTTCATCGCCTTCAACTTTGGCGAACAAATTTGCCGTGAACAACTCTGAAACCTCCTGCAAACGTCACATAAGGTAGATACCACTTGAGACACTCGTAATCAACCAAACACACCAGGATCTCACTTCAAAGATACCCGTCGAGACACCCAACTGCGGAAGAAATGGACGCCTCCAAGCAAGCCCTCCAGAACTCCGACCTTGACCAGCTCAACGACAAGGACAAGGCCGAGCTCCGCCAATTCCTTGCCAACGAGCAGCAGAGATCCCAGATTCAGACACGTTAGTACACCCACTCAGAGATCGCAAGAGGAACAAGCTGCCACGGACGGAGACGATAGCTTGATGGTTTGAAACAGACAGCTAATCCTGGATCATGACAGAAACCCACGCCCTCACGGAGATTTGCTGGAAGAAGTGCGTCAGCGGCTCAATCAAGAACTCGAAACTGGATAAGGGCGAGGAGTCGTGCCTGGCCAACTGCGTGGACCGCTTCCTCGACGTCAACTTCTTGACCATGAAGCACCTCAACCAGATGCGCTCAGGATAGAAGATTTCTGGGCATTCAAAGAAGGGATAAAGGACCGCGCTGCGGGAGTCAGGACGAAGGACGTCTAATCTGGCGCGACTCCATTGTACAAGCATTGTAGAACCACGACATATCACGAATAGAGTGACAACAAAACCAGTACCGTCGCATTTCGCACCCAGCTTGAAGAACATTGGACTGGGCTACACGTGGACGACGACTAGTTCAATTAAGCAGCATCTACCGCATTCATTTGCGTTGTTTAAGACTGGGCAAGGTCATTGTACCCCAATTTGAGGACCGGGGGATTCGATTTATGCCCTTGGGGAAGCCACGCAAGGGATCCTAATCAACAACCTAAAGACGCCCATGCCAATGCCTTTGCAGTCAATGAACCCGAATTGCTTTTTATTTCATTCCCATTCCCGTCGTTCCAACGCTTAAACGAGAGCCAACTTGGTGGCGGCGATGTCAAGAGCATCGACGTCGGGGGTGAGGCGGGCGTAGGCCTTCTTGGAGCCATCAGGGCTAGATTGACTGTGTCAGCATTTCTGGTCTTTCGAACGTGCCCGTAAAATGGGTCGGCTTACCGGATCAGGGTGTTGATCTTGATGGTGTCGATATCGTAGAGCTTCTTGAGGGCCTGCTTGATCTGGGCCTTGTTGGACTTGACGTCGACGATGAAGACGAGGGTGTTGTTCTCCTCGATCTTCTTCATGGCGCTCTCAGTGTTGAGAGGGTGAACGATGACCTTGTGCTCATCAAGGCGGGGCTCGTGGGGGATCGACTTGCGAGGGTACTTGGGAGCGCGAGAGACAACGAGGGTCTTGGGGCGGTGGAAGGAGGTCGTGTAGCGGACCTTGGTCTTCTTGTGGGAGCTGGTCTGTAAAACGTATTAGCATCCGTCGCGTCTGAACATCGCGGCCTCTGACGGGCCCAGTATTGCCTCCGGAGGGACAGCCAGAGTAGCAAAAATTCTTCTCGTCCTCTCGTCCTTTCGACTGAGACCTGAGTCTGTACTTACACCCTTCAGGGCAGCCTTGGCAGCAGCGTTGGCCTGCTTGGAGCCCTTGGGAGCCTTGGAGGCACCGCCTGTGGAAAATGTCGCATCAGCAATCGCTCTTTAAGATCAAAGAACTCGCAAAATCTGCTGCAGCATGATGCTCGGGAGTGTTGGCCCCGTTGCCGTCGACGGCAGAAGATTTATCGAGTTGGGGGAAACATTTGGTGTTTTCGGCTCTTATGCGCCCGCGCGCAAAAGAGTGTCGCTGGAGTTCTCAAGTACCTTTCTTCGTGTTAGGGGCCATTGCGAATGCTGGGACGTTGGCTGGCTGGTCGGTTAGCGGGCTGGATGTCGTGGTTGTCGAGATCGAAAACAAGTCAATCTACGTCTTTTTTTTTTTGGTTCCTGGGTTTCGTCGTGGGTTGTGTTAGGGCACCTATTTTTTCCGTTTGGCGGACCCCTCCCTTCGACCAATCAGCTGCCCTGTCCAGAGGGGAAATCGGGTAAGGAAAATAGATTCACCGTTAAGCGCAATCCACCCCGGGTGGCGCATTCTGGCACTTAGCTTACATAACGCAGTCAGACGGCCAATTATTCTCAGGCATTCACAGCCGTCCGTATCATAATTAATTTGCTCGCGATCCCTCGATTTGCTTAATCGCTGCGTGGTAACCTCCTGCGGTCTTCTGTGTCTTACGAGATAACTCTGCGCGCCATCTGCCTTTCTCTCTCCCCGCCTGACTAGAGCTCGCCATCATGGCCCGGAACAAGCAAACACCAAAGTTGCTGGCCAGCGGCCGGCCTCCCACGCTGAAGAAAGCAAAGTCAATATCGCGGAAGGAAACCAGGACGCTCATCAATACTCACCACACCCTGCAGAAGAAACGCCAACAGGCTCTGGCCAGAAACGATAAAAAAGAAGCAGCAGCTATAACCGCAGAAATATCTGCTCTCGGCGGATTGGAGGAATACCAACGGGCCAGCCTTCAGGGTCAAAGGATAGATCGCGGCGGGGACAGCTCCAAGGTCCTCCTGGACTGGCTGCGACCAGCAGAGCTTCAACCGGTCAAGGCCAAGAACGTAGCAACAAAGCGCAACGGCGAGGGCATCGAGCATCGCCGATTGCGCATGCTTGAGGTGGGCGCGCTCAGCACCGACAACGCCTGTTCCAAGAGCGGCCTCTTCGACATGGAACTCATCGACCTGAACAGCCAACGGCCGGGCATCGTGCAGCAGGACTTCATGGATCGACCCCTCCCCAAGGACGACACGGAACGATTCGACATCATCTCTCTCAGTCTGGTGCTGAACTACGTTCCCGATCACTCCCTGCGTGGGCAGATGCTTCTCCGCACACTGTCATTTCTGCGCCAGCCCCATGGTGATCTTCCAGACAACGCCCGCGAATTCTTCCCTTCGTTATTCGTCGTCCTACCAAGGAGCTGCGTTGCCAATTCGCGATACTTCTCCCAGGAACGATTGGTTGAGTTAATGACACTCTTGGGGTACATTCAACTTAAGGACAAAGTCACGAACAAGCTGGTCTACTCCTTCTGGAAGAGGGAAGACTCACCTCGTCAGCCTCTGCCACCGTTTGTGAAGAAGGAGATCAACCCTGGACCGAATCGGAACAACTTCACCATCACTCTGAAAGTATCATGAGATCACTGGCTGCGCTCATTCATGAGCACCTTAATCTGGCTCCCGCGGCCGCCATACGCTGTCAGACTGGATAGGAGATGCCGGATTCCGTGTACCGATCTCGTACGTAGCTCACACCCGAGACGGGGCGGAGCTCCATTTTCGATTCCGGCTGCCTTTTTGGGGCGGGACTCGGCGATCAAACCCTAGCATCTGATGTGTTGGAAGGGCCCAGCGGTGACCTCGCATAGATCGACAGACGATCGCTCGCGTTATCTTCCATGAGGGGAGGCCTTGAAGGTGTCACGTTTCCGACCCTTCATGTTGGCCAGTCCTCCTCGATTCGTGCCGTCGCTCATAAGATAAGCCGTACTGTGTGCCTCATGCTGCTTAGATCCTCCACTGCAAGTTGCGCCTCGTACGCTTCCATCAGTGGATTAAACTGCCGCGGCAATGTGGCTGAAAGTCCAAGTGCAGATTAATAAGTCCGGTGCCTGGCGGGTGGTGAGCTACAGATGGGCAGCTTCTTCACTGCCCTAGATATTCTCGCACACGCTGGACCACTGCAACAGGTGCGGTCGTACGATCAACAGCTACGAGAGTTTCGCCTTCTCTCTCGAGCAGACTGACAAGAAAACTATCGTCTGATTCTGGGTTTCGCTCGCGCCCTGGCCTGCTTCAGAGTTCAAAACCGATCGACATGTCTCAGCCGGGTCTTGAGTGGCGTGGTACAAACAACGACAAATTCCACGGTACTGGTGCCGAAGAAAGTTGGAAGGGCTGTCTAGAACGGTCTTCGCGTGGGTTGGACGCGGGTACGGAAGGGACCACGGACGGACTCTGACGGAGACGGGAAAGCTGAATGTGATATTCGCCGGATGCAGAGTGTATTCGAGGCATTTCATGCCGGGCCTCCCGATAGAACTATAGTTTCTAGCAGGAACGTTTGTCGAATACCCCGCAATCATCAGTCACTTATGATTGTTTCGACCCAAGACCCTCCAGTTCTTTGAAGTCACTGATCGGCCGAGGGCTCATACCAATCGGGAGAGGTGCGTTGCCTGGGCGGACAACGGGTATGCTCTGCATTCCGGCGGCGATGGCGGCTGAGACCTCGAGGGGGTTATCGCTGAGGAAGAGCCACTCACAAGCCTTGGCGTCCTGGAAGTTGGACAAGATGTTGGTATAGCTGCTTGGCTCTGTCTTCAGGCCGGCGTTGACCGTATCGAACCAGCCAGAGATGAGGTGGGTCAAGTCCGACGGCTGAGCGTCCGTATGGGCGAAGAAGAGTTTCTGCGCCGGGACGGAGCCAGAAGAGTAGACGACGAGGCGCAAGCCGGCGTTTTTCCATGTCAGAAGACGCTCAGCAACATCCGGAAAGAGGGGAGCCTTGATGTCGCCAGACTCGTAGCCCTCATTCCAGAGATAGCCCTGGAGAGCCTTGAGGTACGAGACTTTGACATCGCGGTTCACGAGGTCGCGAAAGTGAGCCTCGAATGCAGATCGGTCTGACACGCAATCTTCCGGGAAAGCATTCCGGTAGGAAGAGAAATCCGGGCTGTCCCACTGGTTGTCTAGGGTCGCCGGCAAGGCATTGACGGCGTGAGGGAACTGGAGAGAGGATGAAGTGTCAGTACGGGAGGCAGCGGACTGTGCCGCGGCGGGAAAATGCACACGGTGACCCGGCCGGAATGGTCAAGCCACGTCGGGGGTACAGGATCGGCACCATCGGGGTAGGACCCGGCACCCGACAGGACCGGGAAGGGCGGGGGGAATAGGCGTACCAAGACATCTTTGACAAAGGAGATGGGGCAGACGGTGCCTTCTGCAGTAACGGTCGGTTCGAATCAGCTTGTGGTGTGGATGCGGTGAGGTTCAGGCTCACCAATGTCAAGCAATACGACCTTGATCTTGCCGAGATTCAATGCCATGGTGGAACGTCAGATGGGTAATGTGCTCTCTGAGATGTCGGCAAGGGCGGTGACGGGAGGAATCAAAGGTGAGACGGTGAGACGGTGAGACGGTGAGACCTGGGACGCGACGGGCGAAACGTCTGGGCCCAAGGAGAGAAAGTCCGACAGACGGCTTGAAGAATAGAGAAAGAAAATAAAGATAAAAATCCTTCAGCGTGCTTTCGTCGTTTGTGAGCTGGTCGGCCTGCAGCTGATTCGATCAAACTGGCAGTGGTTCATGCATGAGGTTGGACGGTGGGAAATTGCGAGAAGGCGGTCAAGCCAAACCGGAATTCAAGATGGCCCGGAACAGGAAAAGGCTGTGCAGTTGGGTGTGTCTAGTGACGCGAAGTGTGTGTGTGGGGATGGCACCCTATTCAAAGTGTGTGCCTACTACAGTACCTCAATGCCGCATAGTGCTCCGCGAAACCTTCCGAAGGTGCTGAGGGAGGCCCAATAACAATACATGTTAAGACATGTTGGCGTTCATGACAAGCAGCGGTGAGCCGGCAACGATATGTGATAACAACCTGAAGAGGAGGATAAGGAATTCACTGCATGTTTTGATTGTGACGATGGAACAGCCGATGGCAGTACTCCGTACGGACAACATCGAAGGCGGCAGGGGGATGGCCTGGAGACCCGGACGGACTCGGCACGGGAGCCGGACAGGCAGCCGGACAGGCGCAGCCGGTGGCAGCTGTCGTGACCTACTTAGCCTAGTGTCCGTCAGCCCCGAGAACAGAGGGGCGACGGACGACGGACGACGGACGACGGACGACGGACGAGGGTGACTCGGTTAAGGCGTAAAACCCCATGAAAATGAGGCCATCGTAGGACTGAGCGCTGTGACCTGAAGTAGGTGCCGTAAGTGGAGAGCATCGGCCAATAGTCCGCCGTGTGGTGTTTTCGAACGGTATTATCTCAAGGCACGGATCAAGGTACGTGCCACGGCCCACGGCACCTGAGAGGACGGAGGCGGAGCCACTTTGTCCGGATTGCGCACGCCTGCCGCCTTCACGTCTCGATACCTACCTACCTACCTACCTACCTACCTACCGACCGACCTAGTGCACAGCTACGAATACTGCCTGCCGTGCCACCTCACCTCACCTTACCTTACCGTACGGATGCCTTCTACCTAGGTACAGAGTAGTCTCCCCGCATTTCTCCCGGACCTGGGACGACAGGCACGCATTGCATTGCGGCCTACAGACGGCAGCAAAGAATCTGCCATATCATCCCATCCACGTTTACTATCTCATGATATGAATGCGCCGGAATCGGGATAGGGTTCACGCGCTGGCGTTGGAGTGGTGGCCACGAGGTATTGAGCCCCTTTGTTCCTCGTATCTGTCCTTCAAGCGCCATCATACCCACGACCAGCTAATCAGACTCGAGATACTGCTAGGTACACCCACCACGCCAAGTCTGTCATCCGTTTTGTCTTGTCTCGATCGCAGAGTAAAGACTCCACTTGGTCAACAACGTGTCTCGCCGAGATGCGGTAGGTGATGGGCGATACGATAGGAACTGGAACGCCTTGCAGATGCCTTGTGCCATGGCAGACGCCTATGAGGATGGGTATGGGAGACGGCAGTTCTACCGACGTGCTACTGACGATGGCATCTCTGAATCTTGGACGGGACCTTGCGAATACCATCAGATACCGTTCCTCATCCAAAACCTATCCTAGGTACCTACTTGATAAAAGGCCCGTGGTGAGTCAGTCACTTGCACACGGCCCCCGAAGCTTCACGGAGGACGGCGCACGGCCCAGACAGAGACAGCCCCGTCCATCGTCCACCAGACCGCGACGCGCAGCCAGTTGTAGTTGTATCCGTACGCGGTGGCGGTAACACTGGACGTTAAAGTACATGCAGCATTGCGGACCTGCCCCAATGAAGAGGGAAAGGGGCTTCGCTGTCCACATGGTCCTCGAACCGCCACCACTCCCGATAAAGCTTCGGAACGGGAGTTGTTCGGAGCATGCAGCTGCAGATATGGACATGCCTGGGGAGTGGGTAGCTATCGCTGCATCCCCGTGGAATTGATCGGAGAACTGGAGAACTGAAGCTAGAGACGAACTCGAGACAAGGGAGCTCTCTCAGCATGAGTGGTATGACTGGCGGCAAGCCACCGCAAGCTGGGGCTGCACCATGGACGATGCCCACCGTCAACCGCTGCTCTCCACGCCCCCGCGGTGCGGCGCCATTGCCGCGAAGCTCGTCGCGTGGGTAGCGGCAAACAGACGCTTCCACCTATCCATCCCTCTTGCAGCGACGCACAACTTCGGATAGATTAGTTTGTTTACTTTGGGGAGACGCAGTCAAGTTCTAGCCGAGGAACGAACAGTCATTTTTCATTCTTCCTGGAAAAGCAAAACGCCTGCAAAACGCCTCAGCCTGTAAGGAGACACTCATGAGGTTAGGCGTGAATCGATCCAATTGCAGGCGGGTTGCAAATAGAGGGTTGCAAGATGAGACACGATGGAACCAGAATATCGGCGTGGCATCAGCTGCTATCCGTACCTATTAGTTGTTTGTTTCTTAGTCAAGATAACGTGTGAGCTCGAGCTGCGCAACTACCTTACCTTAGCTACTGCGGTGCGAGCTAAGCACCGTGAGGTCTGTCTAGATGCGAGTTAGCGCATACATTACACACTCTCCCGGGGGCCCGGTCGCCTTCCAGCCAGGAATTTACTTCCCGCCCGCCTTTGCCGGTCACACGACCAAATCGTTGGGGACGGCAGCCCCGGGGTGGGAGGGGGACACGAGCGGCGGCGAGCGGCGACGCGCAAGGCAAGAACGTGCCCGTTATGACGGATGCCTTTGCTCATTTTGCATCCCCCGCCTTCGGAGCTCTCTACCTTGTCTAACTTGTTGCTGAACATGGTTGTGTTGTTGAGTTGAATTGAAAGGAGGAACAGCAGACGAGGCCAAGTTGACAACTCGTTACTACGTGGCCCGTTATCGTTACGATCGATCAATCAACCAGAGTCGACTGCGAGACTCCGCAGACGGCCATGAACCACGTGACTGCCAACTCTGTACCTGTACCGACCGCAGGCCCATTTGGGTTCGAGGGGGATGACGAAGAGCGCAATGTCTGAAACACTCTCAATGACGACCATGGGCAGCCAAGCCAGCTGTACATAGTACGGGCGCTAGTCAGCAGCTTCTGGAGCATATACTAAGAGCTCGAATGGGGATGCTGTAGAGGGGTTAGATCAGCATTCAATCATCGGACGAAGGTTTGACGTTGAAGCCAAGGTCAGAGCCAGAGACGGGAGGGGCAGGAAGTCCAGTGCAACGCTGATTCGATACGACGGCAGGTTGGGATGGTTGTTGGCGAGCAGTCATCAACCGCTGGAATTAAAGGCTCTGTACATACATACAGCGCAGATCGTGAGGCCAAGGAGGAGACATGGACCAGCGTCATCTCAGATTACGATTGATGGCGTGCGAGATAAGGCAAGGTGTGTTGTGTGTTTGGTTACGGATACCTACGGAGACAGGTCCTGCCTGAGTCAAAACTAATCTGCATCCTCCATCTTTATCAAGGTCACGCACGGCATCTTATCACGGTTCGATTTGAGGTAAGGGGTGACAGGACAAGCTTGCAGAGGCAAGACTGAATCAGGGAACGGGCCCACGACACCTTTCGTCTTGTTCTGGAAAAAAGGGTCGCGGATGGGAAGGCGCTTGGATGCGTCGGGAACTCTGGAATCTGGGGGATTCGCGGACGCTGGTCTGTTCGTCTGCAGTTCCTCCCGCCCCAACTTCCCGGGATCGAATAATACGTGTACACTACTTCCAAGACGGCTTAGGATTGACGGTAAGGATACTGCGAAGGGGACTACGACGCGACACCTTATGGAGGGAGGGAGGAGGAGGAGGAGGAGGAGACCAACAGGAGGAGGAGACTCTCACTTGGCAACGACGGGACGGGCAAGAACACACTTCTGCCCATCTGCAGGTGGAAAGGAGTGCAGTGACATTCAACCAATGAGACAGAGACCAAGTGAGCGAGTGAAACAGAAACTCGAAGAATCCAGTCGAGAGATTGTGTGAAATTAACAGCCAGCCGCCCAGAAGGCCTGCCAATTCCAGCATGCAGCTCTACCGATACCTTACCTGTACCGGACAACGACCACCGTGCGGTGCTCCAAGACAGGACTGTGAGCTGGGGAGGACCGTAAGGTGACTGACCGCCTGGGACGGAGACGTTAAGAAACGGTGACGGTGACGGAGACGGAGACGGAGACGGAGACGAAAACGGTGAGCGATTCCAGACAAGAAAGCAACGGGCAAGGCTCCCATAAGGTATCCGTATCATCCCCCAAGCTTCAGAGTCTCGAACGTGGTCTGAATAGCTTGTCTCCGGAGCAGACAAGGGGAAACAGAGACAGCAATGTGGCAAGGCAAACGACAGCCAGCGCGACGCCATTCAGGTATGCATGGCAGTGACCCAGATGACGATGTTCTTCAGCCATGATCCAGGAATTGCTTCAAGAACACTGGATCTTTTGGGTCTGTTGCCACTCTATCTTTGGTAGCTCGGCCAGAAAGGGGACCTCTGTTCAGGGACCATCTGGGACCTTCAGGGGCGAGCTGAAGGCCCCATTACCTAACACAGCCAAGTTGGCCGGTTTATGTGAGGTGATGTAGCAGCCGAGATCCGATAACTTGGCTTGTTGATGAGGGTCCAGTATCCGCGTGGAGTCATTCAAAGAGTCAGAGGACGTAACGAGCCGAGAAGGACCCCTTTTCCAGACCCTCACGATGCGTCGGACGCAACATCTACACAGTAATACAGCGACATGTGCTGTCGTTCAGGTCCAGACAGACCTGAGAGGTAAAAGGTAAAAGGCACGTACGGATACGGCGATGGCGCTGCGCGACTCAGATTCAGAACTCGCAGCGGTGTCCATCAACGAATAGCTTCGCAGAGGGCGCTGAGCCATCAGGGTCCATGGCTGGCTCGGCCTGTCGATCCTTCTCTCTTGGTTCATTGCACGCTTCCCGCCGCACCAAGCGCAGAAGCGACGCAAATCAGGCTCAGTGTATCCGTAATGATACCTTAGGTATGGTAAGGTACACTGCGGTAGGTAGGTAATGTGAAGGGCCGGCTGGCATACGACTGGAAACTGCTGGGTAGCAGCATTAGCAGCCGTTTCTTTCTGCGGATCAGGGATTAGGTACCGATCTAGATTCGCGGTACGCGGCGACCATGTCGACATCGCGACTTCAGCTCGCTGATATGTACCTCGCGACCACGTACCCAGCCGTATGTCGACTGCCTCACAGCTATCTGCCAACGTACTACATTGACGTAGAAAGGGCTGGGCTGGCCGAGCGCTGTGGCTGTCAGGTCCAGTGCCTCACCTACCATGTAAAGTAGCCGGCAGCGGGCAGTGTAGCACAGCTGCGCCATACCTATTTCCCGATGATATTCACAGCCCACGCACGCACCGCACCGTCCTTACCATGCTGGTGTTGACGGGAAAGTGGGCGTTCCGTTCCTCACAGCAGTACTATGGTACCGTGATCCGGTGGTCTCAGTAGCATCTCGGAACATCTTGGTTGACGACCTTCGGAGTGCCCTTATTGAAGGCTCGCCATCTGGATACCGTAGTACGTCTTCCACGGGCATTTGACTTTGGGCGCAATCTATCTGTCTCCGTCTCGCCCTTGCTGCGATATACAAGACACAACACCCGGCACGTAGGACCCAGCATCCAACACCCAACACAGTACGGGCACGGACAACAACATCGAGTTGAGGACGCAAGAGGTGTCCCTCATTGTTCAACCCCAGACGGTCCCTTGTAGCCAGTCCACGAACAGTGTCGTCAATGGCAAGCAACGTCCCCCCAGGACGAGGAGGCTGCCAGCCATTCGCTCATTCATGCATCTCACAGGGTGTTCCCGACGCTGTAAACATTCGCTTCCCAAGCCCGTTGGCGCTGTTCCCTCGGTCCTCCTGGGTTAATGCGGTACTTATCAGGTTTGCAGAGCCCGCCGCCAAAATGCGTTAAATGTTGGTATCTGGCTATCTGCATTCGTCATAACCACTTCGCAGGGTGCGGCAAGGCCCTGATTGGTTCAAGTCGATTAAAGTTGACTGCACACCCTCCCCCATCCGCTTCCTGCGTTCTTCACTCATTGTTTTTGTTGTTGCTAGGTTCTGCGGGTTCTTAATGTTGTTGATGTTCTTGTTGTTGTTGTTTGTGTTGACAGAGTTGCCGCCCCCTCCCGAAATCTATACCTCGCCCCCCCGTGTTCATCATTGTCGGATTCCTATCGAAGACGATGGAAGGAGAAGGGAGACGGGGCGGATGATAGATGATGTCGTGCTCACCGGATGATCAATCAAGACTTGGTCATTAGGTCAGTCCAACGGGACGGGGTCGGGGTCTTCAGTCACGACCACGACTCACCCGCGCCGGGCCCGACAATGACCAAGTTCTAATAGTGAAGAACCCCGTTGGCAAATCGCCGAAGCGGGTACGGCAAACTGTCCGCTGTCCACTCCACACATACCGTGGGATAGGTGTACCTTACTGCGTAATGCTGGTTGTGTCGGCGTGGAGTTGCCTCGTTGCCTCATTCCGGCTGATGACTCTGTTTCCTCGCGGGCCATTCCCAGGTTTCGCGGGAGCTCAACAAGGGGACACCTGAGTTGCGGGACCCGAGATTGTGATAATGACGGGGCGCGGACGGACTGGCGGCAATGGCATGTCCAAGAAAGGGAAGCCTTATCCACAGTGTGCTATACCAGGTCACCTGGTCTTTGGTGATGCATATCTGTCTTCTGTACGGCGTCCCTACCTCTATCCGTCAGGTAGTGCTGGTCAGGTCTATCAACTTGGCTCTACCTTGGCCCCGTCAGTGCGGCAGCCAATATGCCGTTCCGTTATGTCACCGCCAGAAGTGCGGCGTCGCAGTACGCAGTATTATGATGACAGTGCACACCCTCCACCTCCCATGCCATGTCCAACGGGCAAAACGGAACAAAACGGAGTGACAGAGGCGGCAGCGAGAAACAAAACAGGCCACTCAGAGACAGGAGATGGAGGGGCCGGGCCGGGCTGAGCTGGCTGGGCTGGGCTGATGACCGTTGTACCCATCCGTAACTTGTTGACACACACAGCATACATACGTGGGATCATTCACCTTCACCTTCAGATACACTTCATGTCTTGTTCAAACACGAATGGCTGGTTTGTCGACTTGTCGGTCTGTCGGCCTGGCTCTGGCGTAGCATCGCGTCCCCGGTCCAGCCCAGATCAGAAAGCAAAACCCAGACGGCCAGACAACCAGCAACACATCTCATGCAGGAGGAGGACAAGAAACGACGACAAAGTAGATGTGGTCGACTAGGGGGTCTGCATTGTAGCCAGTTGGAAGTGAAAAAGGTGTCTGCAAGTTGGCCAAGCGTGCATACCGTCGTCCCACACTCGCTGCGTGGTAGCGCCATTCCTCCGTCTGCCATCCTGGTCTTGGTCTGCCTGCCCAACCATTCGTACCTTAGGTAGCGTAGCGTAGGTAGGTATGCGTACGTCCTCCCTCGTCCCATCTTCGAACGTACTATTGGTGGTGTGCCGTATGCTTGCAAAGGAAAGGAGAGCCCATGCTCCGTGTTCCTGCTGCATGCTTTCCCAGCTGGCGGCCACTCCGCCCCATTCGGATTAGAGATCCATAGCCAGGTACCTCGAGACACGTACTGCCTATCTTCACTCGCTGGCAGCTGGCTGGGTCGCCCACCGCCTCTCCCGGTCCCCCTTCCACGTCTTCCAGCGTCTTTTCACTCGGTGATGTACCTTGGGTACTTACTGCATTACATCTGTCAACTAAGATACTTCGGTTTTGCATGTTCAGATGCCTTTCGCAAAGGTACACTCATTCCCTATCTGAACCGGACACATGTAGCTCAGGTGGGTTTTACACTGGACTAGGTACCGAGAGGCATGTACTCGCTGCCAATCTCGCCTTGCTCCCCCGGTCTCACGCTGCTCACTCTCTCACTCTCGCTCTCTCTCTCTCTCTCTCTCTCTCACTCATTCACCTCCCTCTGCCTGCTTCCAGTCCTTCATTCTTCTTACCAAATCCATCCTCGTCCATCCTCGTCCATCCACCTCCATCTTCTTCTCTCACTGCCTGTCGCTCACACTCACGCTCTCGCACCCTCCTTCTTCGCCTTGTCTTCCCTGTACTGCCTACCCACCCTTTTTCCTTCGTCCAACCTGCTCGTACTGCTTCTGCCTCTCAGTCACACTCATCATTCTTCCTGCACTTACCTACTTTACTCTAATACTCCCCCTTCATCACCTTTGCCTCTCCTTCGTTTGACTCCCCTACTCTACCTACCCTTCCCCCCATCATTCATCGTCGTCAACGGCCTCTCTTACTCTCCTTGCTTGCTACCTCAGCCACCGTCCTCCTCTATCCGTCTCAACCTCCTCCCATCTTCACCTCTCCCTCTCTCCGACCTCCTTATCAAACCTTCACCCGCCAATTCCACTCGCGTCCACCGCTATCAATCAACCACCACCCGCGAGTCATATCTGCAAGCTATCACGCAATCAATCTCCGCCGAAGACTTGACCACCGTTCAACCCCGTCAATCATCGACAGAGAGAAAGACATAAGAGAAGAGAGGCTCCTTGTGACTTCGACTTCGACCTCGACCTCGACTTGGAATCGACATTGTCTCCACAGCCGTCGCTGTCAATCAACATCGACTCACACTCGTGTCCTTTGACTCACTCGGCCCACCGTCTTTGCCGTTCCTCAGCCCTCAGTCCTCGTGCTCCAACCAACAACCAACCTACCTACACATTCAAAAGGATCAAGGCCCCCGACCTTCTTCCATCTCGCCTCGAACGATCACTCCATCCGATCCGTTCTCCCACACGCTACCCAAACGCTCGAATGCTGCTGTAGCCAGCCCTGTCGCCGACACCGGTAGTCTGCTTGCTTGCAAGCCGTTGCAATTTCATATTCCGACGAAGCTACCCACGGCCTCCTCCGACCATCCACCTCGGCCTTTGTGCCAGTAGAGCCAGCAACCCGACACGCATCCTCAGCCATCAGCCCTGCCCACTCGACTCTCTCTCGACTCCTCTTGACTAGGACTCGACCTTTTCGCTTCGTACCGCGAATCAGCCTTCCAGTGCCGATCTCGCAAGCCACTTCTTCGACCTACGGGCCATCATTCTCTCCTCTTTCTTGCAATACTTGCTTTATTTCAATGTCCTCATAACGAAATCATCTTTGTTCCCCGGACTCGTCGACGTCCAAATCGCTTTACGACCAACCACTTCCACCAACAATCATCAACAGACCTTCGCTTTCATTTGTCCGACAACAGCAGAAAAAAATACCCATCAATGAGCCTCTGATACGTACGAATAGGAGTTAGATACCGCGTTGCTTCCTGTTAGAACTGCCTTTTCAAACCTGTATATTCTTTTGGCAACACCTCTCCGCCGCCACTTCCTCCACCTTCACCGACAACAACGACATCACACTCCTACACCTTCCTCGACAACCGACAACAATCCGATTCTGCCTTCGTCTTCAGCAAAGGATCACTGAAAAGCGGGAAAATCTTGTTTTACGGCTATATCATCGTTTCTTCGTCTCCGCGTTGTTCTTTCGTTCGGATACCCTTGCTCCAACAACTCGTTTCCCCCGTTTCGACATGGCATGCTTGAGAGACGACTTTCAAAATGGCGTGTTGCTCGACGGTCGGTATAAGACCATCTCTCCCCTCAACCATGGCTCTTTCGGCATGGTCTTCATGGCCAAGGACATGCACACCAACGAGACCGTTGCCATCAAGTGCTTGACCAAGAAGGCTGCTGCCGATGATGCCGGCCTCGACTTCGCCATTGACGAGAAGTCCGAGGAGCTCGCTCTCCACGGCCAACTCGGTGCGCATCCCAACATTGTCAACCTGCTCCGCTCCTTCGAAACCGAGGCCCACCTTTACATTGTCCTCGAGTTTTGTCCCCAGGGTGACCTGTACGAAGCTATCCGGAACGGTCGTGGACCCCTGGAGACGGAGCATGTTCGACAGTTCATGCTGCAGCTTGTCGACGCGGTTGCCTACATCCACGCCAAGGGTGTTTACCACCGTGACATCAAGCCGGAGAACATCTTCCTCACCCAGTCTGGCGCCATGAAGCTGGGAGACTTCGGACTAGCGACTACTGAGAACTGGACGCTTGAGACAACCGTTGGCAGCGATCGCTACATGGCTCCCGAGCAGTTCGACTCCGCTGGTGAGGGATACTCCCCCGCCCAAGCCGACATTTGGGCCATTGGCATTTGCCTCCTCAACATCCTGTTCTCACGCAACCCCTTCACCACCCCCACCGAAGCTGATCCGCTCTTTTTGGACTTCTCGCGCGACAAGCAGTCGCTCTTCGACGTATTCCCGTCCATGTCGCAGGATACCTATGAGGTCATTGTCCAGTGCATGAACTTGGACCCCAAGAAGCGATCCTTGGTCGGCGCTCGCGCCGCTCTTCAACGTCTGGTCAGCTTCACCACCACCGAGGAGGATGTCGATGAGTTTTGCTCTGCTGAGCGTCACGTTATGGCTAGCGCGAACCGCGAGCCTCTGCGCACTCCCTCCATCCAGAGCCCCCAAGTCGATCAAGGTGCTTTCCCCTGGGCGAAGGCTCTGCATGCGAGTCCGCCCCAGCCGATTCGCCAGCTTAGCGCTATCCCCGACGACGAGAGCTACACCGAGGATTTATTCTCCAAGTCGGGGGGGACCTTGGATTGGTTCAGCACGGCTCAAACCCCGTCAATCTCGTCCATTCTCGACTCGAGTCTTGGTGCTTCGATGAAGTCTCTTCATATTGGGCGCCCCATGAAGGCGGCTCCTCGACCGATTCCAAAGGTTTCGCCCATGGCCGGTTCGCTGCCGATCAATATGAACAAGCCTCGCGGCAACCTGTCCTCCATGTCCTTGGTGTTCGGTCGTAAGGACGACGTTTCCAAGAGCTGGAGCGACATGTGGGACGAGGATGAGGAAGAGGAGGAGGCTGAACGCAACAGGCAGACGCAGTCCCTTCAACAGCTCAACTCGAGGACCTGGAGCCACGACAGTAAGGCTGATGACAAGGACGACTGCGAGACGGTTGACGCGACTCCGCTTGCGACTACTCCGCAGCGTGCTCACCACGACACTGTCAAGATCCACAACGACATTGACAGTGACTTGGTGGTCGATGGATTCTTCTTCCAGGATGCATCCCCCCCAAAGTCGAAGCCTATGCTGCCGCTCCGTCAGTCATCCCCGAAGCGTAATGAGGCCGACAAGTGGAGTAAGCTTGGGGAACGTCGCCGTGCGTACACAGGCTCATCCCCATCCAAGAAGTCGGGCGACTTTGCCCGACAACAACGCGCAATCGGCCTGGGTTACAATTCATACGCAGCTGGAGTCTGGGATCCCTATGCACACAACAACACCAACATTCATCACAAATCGCCTAAGGAAAAGGTTAGGGAATGCCCCTGGAATAAGGGCAGAGATTGGAATTACTGGCGCCGGGAGAAGCGCACTGATCTCGCAGACGTCGAGTGGGTTGGTGGCTGGCAGGAAGCTCATTCCTAGCCGGACCATCTCTTGTGGTTGAGTTTACTCTTGCAGGACACTGCCAGGCTCTTTGGCTTTTCGGCCGTGATAAACTACGGCTTGGTGGCCAGAGACGTTGCGCTTGGAACCTGTTGGATGATACAACTCAACTCGCTTTCTGTGTATTAGATATCTCCAGATTAATGAACAATACCAGAAGTTACCCACTCAAATGTTCTTCAAACCTTCGTGATGAGCTTGCTGCGAAACTTGAGTACGCGTGTGCATTCTAGGTCGTCTCGAAACCTTGTTCTTGACACTAATCACGTCGCGCTCGTACCTAGCGACGAGGCAAAAGTAGAAGCCAGCGAGCTGCCACTTCCGAACGTGTGGGATAGCTATATCGAAAGCCAGCTACATCAGTCACACTATGCAACGGCAGCACGAATTCATATCGTTCGTCACAGCATCTAACTTGGGTTGCAAACCGAGGCAAAGCAAGTATTGTTCCCAAGACTCTGCGATCATGTTTTGCAGCACCGCCCATACTGCAGTTTCGTGGATACCACCTCGCTAGAGCTAGATACGCGCCGCCGTCGATTCATGTAGTCAAGACGTCTTCTAACCTATAGGTTAACGATACTGCTAGGCGTCGGTGAGTACCTCGAAGTGTTCCTTGGACACTGTTGCTCGGGTCACAGCGAAGTGTGCCGTAAGGGAGTTAGCTTCCCTGTTGATTAACCTTCCTTTCTCCTCTGTGAGAGGTATGACTACGTTTCGTGGCCCGCGATTCTTGATCCGCATGGGTATATCCCCTTTGACTAGGCAGCAAGTTAGCAATGGTGAAATACGACCTGCCCGGTCTGGCGCCTCTCCCGTAGCAATGACGGTGACATGGGTTTGTGTATCGTCGCACCTGTCTGTACACGTTCCCTGGCAAGTGTTGCCAACCACGCGACAACTGAAGCCCGCAGCACAATCTCATGTTTTCGTCAGCCAGTCTGTCATTCCGACTATTGATTGTGATCTCTGCTATTGCCGATGCTGCCCTTGACCTAGTGTTCCTGCTGCGGCCATCATCCTCGGACCATTCCTCACGAGTAACCATGACTACGGCCACCGCAGCTCACGTGATGCGGAGCATAGATACACTCGTGGCGTTCGCCATGTTTCCATCCCCGAGAAGTCGGCAACGATGGCGGAGAGTCTTCCCCCAGCCGACCTGGATGAGCGCGTAGTGACATGACATGACACGTCCGCAGCTTGACCAATTCGACCAACTCAAAGTCACGCAAGTAAGGCTTCCATTTGCGAACATAGCAAGATCTCATGTATGGCATTACTGGCATCAACGCATGTCACCCGGAAAACGTAGATACACCCCCAACCAATACGATAACTATATGCATCATGCGTGGCAAAGAAGCACTTCACACCGGCATCGAGCCCAGATGCAACCGACGCCATGCAATAAACGATGGGTAGAGAGTACGCCATAGATGCAAAACCAACTCCATAGACGATCTGGATGATCACTCCGCGCCGATAAGACTCTTGGGAAGGAAGGCCCAAACCGTGCCCACCACCGACAAAGCGGTCGAGATGAGCATGAGGACGTAGCATAACAGCCTCTCTCGGGGGGTGATTTCCTTGTCGAACAGCTTGACGTAGAAAGCAAGAGGCAAGCTGAAGCTGGTCAGAGAAAAGGAGTCCGAAGAGGTCGGGGACGGATGTTTGGACTTACAGTACGCAAATGGTGAAGCACAAGGCGCTACCCATGAACGCCATGATGCTGTCGAAAGCTGGGAATACGATGGAGATGACGAGGAAGACAAAGATGGTGACTACTCTGATGGCAACCTTCATCACACCCCGAAACGTCGCGGATCGGCCAACCATGACCTGGTTGTCGGAGACCGCCTGCTGGTGGATGCCGGTCAACACCTCCAGTGTGGCAATGATGGGTCTGGCGTTGAGCGGGATCTTGGTCAGGGGAATAATGGCGATGAAGATGCACAGTAGGATGCTGAGGGCACGAGGGTAGCCGCTCGTTCGGAGAATGTTGGCAGTGATCTCATCCATGACATTGTCACCGTACATGAGGAGGCCTACGACAGCGGTGAAGGCGTCCAGGAGATACTGATCCCGAGTTAGTCCTAGACAAACAGCGCTGATATCACGAATGCTGCTTACCACCGACGAAAACACCGTCTTCACAGCCCTAGGATACTTGTGCGGATGCCGCATGTCCCTGTAAATCTAGTAGAATCGTCAGCAGAGCCACCAAAGACATAGGGGGAGTCATAGACTTACGTTGGGGAAAACGCTATGGCCGCCCCAGGGACTCATCAGTAGACCAAAGCTCAACGGCAAGGTGCCCCAGTTGGCTGGGAAGAGGTAGGTTGTCGCAGGCTGAATGAGTGAGCCGGGGGTGGTTGGCTTGATTAGACCATCGACAACCAAAATCAAGACGACTGTGCTGTGTGAGCCGGCGAATCGGGCCAGAGGGACGGTGAGTTGGACTTACTGCTCATGCAACACAGAATGCCAATGACGCTGGTGAAGCTCAGGAGTCGGAGAGGAAGGAAGTTCAGGGGCACCATGACCAAAGAACAGATGACCTTCCACGTGTTGACGCTCAGGAACCCCGGGAAAAGTAGAACCAGGGAATCGGCAAAAAGAACGATCAAAGCGACACACGCAGCCAACAACTCCATGGTAAACAGGATACTCGTGGCAATCCGTGCATTGCGACCATACGAGATGTACGCCAGATCGGAGAAGGTGATCAAGCTGGCGTCCAGGTCCATGCATTTCGCCAGCAGCTTCGCAGTGTAGGCAGTGACGGCGGCAGATCCGGCCAAAATGACCATACCGCAAATCCAGCCAGCGTACTTGACGCCCATGGGCAAGCTCAAGAGGCCCACGCCAATGAGCACGCTACGCTGCGTGTTAGATTTGTTCTTGATGGATCAGGAGGCGGATACGTACTTGATCGAGTTGAAGATGGTCTGTGGCAAAGTCGACTGGCCCTCTACGGTAAGAACGATCTTGCCGTCCTGCTCAACCTCCTTCACCAGAATGCGAGGGTGCTCTCCGTCCGGTACGTTCCCACCTGCTTGCTGTTGTTGGCGCCAGAGCTCGCCAGCCTGGGCCATGGACGGCGCGTCTACGTCGGATATCGTTCCGTATGTTTGGTATGAGCCGTAGCTCCCAAAGAGAGGCGGGGTAGCCAAGTGCGGCGCAACTGCGAAGATTGACTGTGACGGCCGGCGGCCGCTGCCGAAGCTAGATCGACGAAGGGCGCCCGACATTTCGTCGTCGACAGCCTTTCGTTCCCTGTCGCGGAAGTCCGTGTATGACGAGTTGTCCGCCGCAACAGAGGCAGAAGAACCATTCTGCTGCGAAGAGCTTGCGCCGTTTTCAGGCGTCGCCTCCAGGTGCTGTCTCAGCAACGAGGTTCTGGGGTGGGACTCGGGTTCGACATGGCTACGGGAGTAGTCGAGCGCTTCGGCCGACGAGGAGGCAATCGGGGCCTGGTCGGGGGCGAAAACAAAGGAGGGCCTCTGAGGAATAACTTCAGCGAAGCCTGCAGCACGCGCCCAGCTACGGGTGAAGGAGCGGATGCTGTTGACGCCGCCAATATCGGTAATAGCAGCGAGGTGTCGCGTTACTGAGGACCTGGGCGCGGGGAGTTAGCGAGGCGTCGCACGAGACCAACGATGGCAGCAACGGCCAACCGCAGAAACTTTTTGCAAACTCACCTTCGACGACGCAGACCGTGGTGACTGCTACCATAGCCATCCTCCTCGTCGTCGCCGAGGAGCGACTGGTCTTCAGCGACGGCGTTGGAGTCGATACTAACGGAGCGTTGGGGTGATGCGCCCCGTTCGTACTCATCCCACGTCGATGGGTTTCTCGAAGCCATGGATGGGTACGACTCGTCAAGCGCTGGAACACGCGTCGTGGGCAAAGTTGGGGTCTCGAGACAGTTGATCCAGACAACAGTACAGAAACGGTAGATGCGCAAGAAGAACACACAATAGAGTCGAGCGTCGCGCGGCCACGACTCTCTCTCTCTCTTTTTTTTTCCTGTGGTCTGCGCGGGCGTTCGGACGTATATAGCAGTTGGCGCTACGGACTGGCCGTGCCTTGCTTCCTACACAATAGGCAAAGGCGTGTATCGATAGCTCGCAAATCGACCTCTACCCCCCCTGGGCGGTCCAAGTGGAGACGAGTCGCGGGAGATTGAGATGGTGCTAGCGGAGTGGGCGTTCGGAGCCAGGTTGTCGCAGGTAACGGGTGATGTTCCAACTGGCCGCTCCACGTCGAGTGGATAGGAGGGCGGACGACAGAGATAACGGGTTCAGGTTACGTCGCGTGGTGAGGAGAGGAGAAGAGAGAAGAGAGGTTTTTACCAGTTCCTTCTTCGAAGCGTCGAGCGAGTGATGAAGAGAGAAGAGTCGCGGAGAGTTGCAGAGAAGTCGAGAGAATGTCGAGAGAAAACTTGAACATGGGCGGAAGCCAAGGAATCCCGATGGTGGGAGAAAAACGCCCCCCGACAGCCGACCTCGACCTGGTTTTTGAGTTGTGAGAGGCAGGGTGGAAAGACGCTGAGGGCGGAGACGGGAAAAGAAATCGGATTGCAGGGCGCAGTATCCGTTCCGTGGGAAGTCATGACTTTAAGAAGCCCACGGTATGCTTGTGATGGACGCTGGAAAGGTTAGGTCGGGTCATTGTTGTTCTCTAGTCATTGGCAGATCTCATAGTCCCATATCTATCGGAGCTACATGGCTAGGTAGCATTCCTAGGAAGTGATACGGCAACACACCCAAGTCAAAATCAGAACCGATAAACTCAGGTATCGACCGAGACAGAAGATGGTCGAAGCAAGGATGAAGACGGGGACAAGGGGCTGTGATCTACTACACTACGACGGCAAAGAACCTACCTAGGGTAAGGTCGGTAGGTAGGGTAAGGTAAGCGTATCTCAGCGACCGGACGACAGAGTTTGAAGAGTCAGCTGGTGTCCGTAAGGATGTGCAGTATCTGCATCTTGGTTTTGATGACGCCGTCTGCATCGTCAAAAGTTGGCTGTCTTATCGAGTCCTGGCTCGTGGTTGGACAATTGCCAGCCGTCCGCCCTGCAACTTGCAAGGCTTTGCAGCGGCCAGAACCACTGACCCCAGCACCCCCAGCTCCACTCCACTGCATGCCACCCGACCGCACCACCGTTTGCCCCAGCCATCCGTCCTTCCAGGTTTTCAAGCCGTCCTGAGGATATCCATGGATGTCCACGGGTATGCCTTCCTTTCCATCTCCTCACATCGGTTACGTAAGGTACCTTACGGAAGACGGTTTCTAATGGATATCGTCCTTCTTCTTGCACTGCGCCATTGCTCACTTCACTACAGAGGTACTGACTGCGTAGTAGCAAACGGGGGAGGGGTGTTCTTCCCGGTACTCCGCTATCCACCGCGACTTGCATAAAGCCTTCTTCCCCTCTTGTGTTGCCACGTGACACAATACGACATTCATTGCCGCTGAGACCTGTTTGTGCGGTGTAAGTGATGCCATCACGACTTGAAATGCCCCGAACTAATATGTGTCCAAAGCATGACAATTCTCGAATCCCTTGATCATTGGCTAGAGACTGAGGGATCATTCTGCGAACCATCCCGCACCAACTCACTATTCGCAAAAGTTTGCTCTGTTTCTTGGCTCGGGAATGCTCGAGCCTCGTGCTCACATGGTCGCGGTCTGGATAGTTACACAATAGTTCTTCCGTCTGAAGAGACTGCGAGCTGTAAATCAGGTCCAGAAATGTCGCAAATCGAGCCCCGTGACGCTACCTTACGCTAGTCCGATCGTCCAAGACGATCCATTTCGACCACAGACGGCCCGTCGCACGGTTCCCTCCTTTCTTTGTCTCGGCATCTGCCTTCTAAACCGCCGTTCGTCACCTCCAAAGGCTTCCATCTGCAATACATCGCTCAGTGGGAGGGAGACATGACTGGTTACGGATCATGGGAGAGGGCCGAAGGGGTCTTGTGTCGCTTGAGGCAGGACTAACCAGAATAGATTTTACTGGATCAAATCTAAACTCAAACACCTGTGCGAATAGGGAAAACCGTTGCTATCCCATCATTGCCGCATACCTATCTTAAAAAATACTCCTATCCTCTTCCCACGGTACCTTTAAGGACCTACGCACGCACCTTGCCTGACTGGCACCGTAGGCACCTGCAGCAAATCAAGAACGTAGGTAGTAACGTCAGATCCATTTCTGTCCAATCATCGCCTGTCTGCTAGCACGGACGCCGCATGCCCGCCATCTTTTTCCACACTCAACTCAATTGTCTTGAACGGCATTTCACCAAGCACCAAGGCAAAGCAAGGCAAGGCAAAGTTCAACTCGTTCGTCCGTTGCGATATGTTGCCAGCCGGCCCAGAGGTCGATCCATCCGACGGCCGCGGTCCAGACGAGCAAATTTCAAGCGCCCTGTCCCCCCTATTCCACATTCTCGACAGCTTCCATCACCGCAACAAAAATCAGCATCGCGTCGCTCACTGGTGGTCCCAGTTCGGCATCCTACGCCGCGCCGTGACGAGGCTTCACGACGCCTTCGTTGCCCGCCTCCGCACCACCCAGGCCCTGAGTTTCAAGAAGCAGAGACAGAAGCCGTCCAAAGCCAGACAGACACTTGATGAGGACATTGCCGTCAGGGTGAAAACCCTCGTCGATGCAACAATTCCGTCGTCTTTCTTGTAAGTCGAACTAACTCTCGGGTTCAGATCACCCTCACAACAATGGCAAAGTGCTGCCGTGCTCACGCTCATGACCGAACAGAACCTTCACACAATTGACTGCAGACAACCAACATGCCGCCCTTGGCTTGGTTCTCTTAGGCGTCCTGGCCAGCATAAACTCTGCAATCGCCCCCTTGGTGGCTCATCAGGATGAGCCTGGCCAAACCGCGCCTTCAACGTCTGTCCCGTTGGCTGGGTCGGCGAACGAAACCAAGAGGGATGCCCGCCCTGTGGATCTCGGTGTGGCCGTGCCCCGAGATCAGCTCCGTCTGGCTATCAACGCCGGATCTCGGCCGGAACCACAAGCCAAGGACACCAAAAAGCCGAAGAAGCGCAAGGTGACTACTCTCGTCGACGATGTGCCGACCACCAAAGACAACGGAAAGACAGAAAAGAAGCCCAAGAAAAAGTCGAAAAAGGGCGATGAATTTTCAGACCTGTTCAGCTCACTCATGTAGACTCAAATTCTTGAATTGCAACATCAGCAAAATTCATTATGCAAAACTTCAAATCTTTCATTAGCGACGGCTGTTTGCAACGATACCCCGAGATATTCCTGCCCATGCGCCCGTACTGTCCAGTCCGTCTGTTTGACCGATGGTCCCCAGGCAGGAATGGGGACAATGATAACCTCCTCATCCACTTGGCTTACCAAATCACCTTCGCATTTTACCATTTACTGGTATATGTGTTGTCTTTACCCACGGGCCTCCTCCACCGTTTGCAGTCCCGTCCGTTTCCTATTGAACGCTGCGGTATGACCAGATGCGAGCCCGCATGTCTCCGGAGCCGGTAGCGAAATAGCCACCCGTCGGACTCGGTGCGACTGAAATAACGGAGTTCTTGTGGCCCTGGAGCATGAGCTGCGTAGCTCCGGTGCGAGGGTCCCAGAATTGCACACCGCGGTCCTTGGAGCCAGACATGACCCAAGCAGCGTCAGGAGTGAGAGCAACAGAGAGAACAAAGTCCTAGAGCAGATTAGCACACAGCACAGTATCCAAACATCGACGTCACGCTACTCACCCTGTGGCCCTCGAAAGTCTTGACGCAGCGACCGCCCTTAGGGCCGGGGTTCGGCAGGCCTCGAGGCGTGCTGAGCTCCCACATCTTGATGGTCTTGTCCAGACTACCACTGACAAGATCCCTGCCATTGGGCGAAAATGCCACGCTGTAAACACTGTCCTTGTGGCCGTCGGGGCCCTCGAGACGCTCCAGCAGATAGCCCTGGTGAATGTCCCAAACGCGGACGCTCTTGTCCAAGGAGCCGGCGGCGACATACTTGGTATCGGGGGAGATGGCGACAGTGGTAACACCGTCCTCGATCGTGAGGGTGAGGGTGTTGGTGCCCTGCTCGATATCCCAAAGACGGACGGTTCTGTCCCCACTTCCGGAGGCAATCGTGCGACCGTCGCGGGCGAAGTCTAGAGAGTAAATGTCTTGCTCGTGACCGGAGAAGGTGTTCCGGATCTGCCTGGACTGAATATCCCAAACCTGGAAATTCGGTTAGCCTGCGCGTTGACGCTAGCGGGTGCGGTACCAAAACTCACTCTGATCAACTTGTCCTCGGCACCGGTAGCAAGATACTTGCCATCGGGGCTGAAGCAGACGCTCCTGATGTAGAGGTCGCCAGTGATGTCAACGCTGTCATCCTGGAGGACGCAGAGCTTCTCGCCAGACTGGACGTCGTAAATTTGGGCGGATCGGTTGCATCCGGTGGCGACGTATTTGCCGTCGTGGCTAAAGCGCACACAGCAGACAACGCTCTCGTGAGCAAGAGTGTGCACCAGATCGACGTCCAGCATGCGAGGAACGTGCTGGTTGAAGATGACAAACCAGTCGTGGCCAGACTTCTTGGAGTGAGGGGGTAGGCGATCGGGATCAAGGTCTCCAAGAGCGTTTCCCACCGGGGGAGCATGGGGGCCCCCCATGCGCGCGTGGTCGGGCGTCGGGTGGCTGACCTGGGGCGACTGCGTCGCACCGGGGAACGGGATCGGGGTGTTGATCTGGGGAGTAGCCGGGCCAACAGCGGCAGGCGGCCTACCGATCCCCCGTCTACCGGGGCCAGGCGACGCGGTGCTCTGAGGAGGTTGCGATGCGAGGCCGTTGGATACAGGGCCCTGGGGATATTGCTGAAAAGGAGGCTGTTGCGATTGCGGAGGAGGAGGGGGAGGCGGGACGGGCAGTCCGGGAGGGCCTTGAGCCATCTGATGCTGCGGTCCCATCTGCTGGTCCTGGGGCGGAGGAGGGGGGGGAGGGGCCAGCTGGCCCTGGCCGCCGCCGGTCATGATGCCGTTGAAGAGGCCATTGCCAGGCGCGATGGAGGGGGGCTGTTGCGACGGGCCGGCGTGAGGAGGAGGGCCGCCGATGCTGGGGGGCGCGTTTCCGCGAGCTCCCTCGAGTTGGCGACGGAGCATGGCAATTTCTTCCTCGTACCTGTTGGAAGACAGAAGTGTGAGCAATTTCGCGCCTTGTGATGAGGGGTTTCGCATTCGGTCGCGTACTTTTGCTTCAGATTCATCTGCGCCTGTTCCATCGCGTAAACCTTTTCTCTGACAAGCTGCATTTCCTGGACTTGAGCTTGGACTACGAGAAGGCTGTTAGAATGGTTTGCGGAGGGGTGTCGAGCGCATGTGTCTTACTCTGGTGCTCATATCCCTCAGTCGTGCGCATCTGCGAGTCGAATTCAGACCTGATCTGGTCGAGGAGCTCGTTGAGGCGGGCCGAGTTATTGGGGGGCACCGCGCCCATGGCGCGATGCGGATACATGGACATTGTTGGTGAAGATGGTGGATGCCGTCGGCCGCGTTCAGGTTGGTGATGATAGGATCGGGCGTCGACGATAGACTGGGCCGGTCGCGATCAGGTTGGTGACGATGATGGGAAGTGGTGGTCGAGGCTCGGAAAATTTGGGCGTCGCCGCAATGGGCCCCCTTCTGTACGGCGGCGGGTGCAGAAGCAAAGGCGCGGGTTACCTAAGATTGGGCAAGGTCTGGGGTTTTTCCAGACTGGCGTCGGCGGTAGACTCCAGTTAGGGAGACGCAGGTGGGCGCGCGATGCCGATGCCAATGCCGATGCCGTTACCGTCGGGGTTGGAAGTCGACGGGACGTCAAGGGGGTGGTGTTGAACTCGATTGATGGCGATGATGATGGTGATGCTGCGCGCTCGTGTCGAGGTTGTCACGGCGGATGGGGAGAGGGAGGAAAAGAGGAACAAAAAAAAAACAAGAAGAGGAAGAGAAGAAAAAGCTCGGGTCAGGAAGGAAAGACAGGAGCTGGAAGAGGCTGGCGAGTGGAAAGAGAGGAGAAAGCCCAGGCCAACGTACCAAGTATCGGTTGGAAAGAGAGAAGCAAAGGTGTGGGTGTGGTGTGTGCTGTGTGTAAGGTAGGTGGTATGGTGGCATCTGTGGTGTGCCTCCCGGTCCGGCTAGGTGCACAGGCAGAGGCAGGAAGCCACCTAAGGTACTGGACCTTAGGTAGAGACGGGGAGCCGCCTGCCCTGGCCCCTGGGGAGGAACTGCTCTGTGCCCGCCCAAGGTGGAACCAGGCGCACGCCAAGTGTTGGAAGTAGCCGGCGGAGTGAAACTACATGACGAGCGGGTCACTCGGTACAAGTGCAGACACTGACCGAACGCTCTCCTCGGGGTGCAATGAGCGTCAGTGGGGGTTGAAAAAGTCAGCGTCATTCGAGGTACCGACCGGGGTGAGGAAGCTGACGGATACAGGTACCTGCCGGGAGACAGCTACTCTCCCAGCATCAGGTCTGTGCGCTCTATTCTTTTTTGGAGGGCACCGGGGGGTTGAGCTGAGGTGGTTCCAAAATGTGGATCTCTACCGTCCATTCCCATGTGGCGCTTGATTTCTTCTAGAGTGAACCCAACCTAAGTTTCAATCTGGGTAGTGAGCGGGTCCTAGGCACGCAGCCGACGGCGACTCAGGGTTGCGGCAGGACGTGGACCAGGGCAGGGGTAAGGTACCTTACAGTGCATGTGGGGACTCGGTCGTCGGAGTGGGCCTTTCTTAGTGAGGTGGGGTTCATCGCTCCCGTACATGGACGTGAAGTGAGTGTATTCGTACCTTGCCTACCTACCTACCTACCTACCTTACGCGGTAAGGTACCATACCTTACTTTACGAATACCAACATCAGTAATAGTTGTTTACTGAGGCAGCTTTTATCTACTGTAGCTACCTACCTTACTATGTACCTCACCGGCTTTTTAAAGTCCTGCCCTGGCTTCTTGTCGCGTTCTAATAACCACAGTTGCTGTTTGCGGTTCTGATATCTCTTGGGTTCCCGGCCACTTCCGTCGATTCGCAACACAACATCTACACCATCAATTCGGTAACTCACTCTGCAGCATAAGAGATTCGTCAACCAAGACGGGAGCCATTTGTCAACAGCACCAGGCGGGCATGCGACATCGGGCGCTCTGAGAGTAAGAATAGCCTGTCAGACTCGAAATGGACGTCTGAGAACTGGCGTCTCAATGGCTGACCGGGCCTGCCTTTTGCCTTTGTGGCGCCGTGTCTTTGTCTCCCTTCCGATTGCATTATGCTAAGATAGATGACGAAGAGGCTCCCGACTTGCCAATTTCGTCGTTGGCAAATTCAAGCCCAAGTCGCTTTCTTGCATACATGTTACCGATGCTTGTTCCTCCTGGCTGCCCGCCCAAGAGAGCCCCACAGGAAACAGATGCACATGACTCCAAGGTAGGTAGGTATCTTACTGCAGCTACTATCGTCGCCCCCAAAGGCCGTTCGTAGTGAGTTTGCGGTAGCTGCGCACATCAATATCATCAACGGATGTCATGCCCGCAGTGGAAAGTCGAATCAACGTGCCGTAACACGTTATTGGCCAAGCATTGCCGGGATGACGGCGCAAATGGGCAATCATCGTGAAATGCAGCGGCGCAGCCTGCAGATGCATCCGACAGACACCTCGCACTCACGCACCGTGACACAAACCACACAGGGCGTTGAGAGGGAGGGTGTCTGACGGATACACTACTGCGGCACTGTACTATGTAGACTGATGAGGCTGCAGCATGCGTTAGGAGCAAGGAGTGGGCATTGATGTGGACGTACTATGTAGGCGTGGGCGTGGGCGTGGGCATGGGCGTGGACGTTTTGAGTTGGGGGTGATGGTTGAGACAGACAGAACAATCTGCTGGCAAGCACGCCGTACTACCTTACCTTACCTTACAGTAAGCTTGAGGCGAGGATGAGGGCTGAGCGGGTCGAGATCTGAGAGGAGAGTTATCCGTAGTTGGATTAGGTCGGATTGGGGGTGTGTGTCAAAGGGTAAGGGTACATGTGCTAGTAAGGGGCGATGTGATGGCAGGGTCAGGGTCAGGGTGAACCGTGAGAGTTCTGTGTCTGTGGTGGATCGTCTGGTCTGGTGTCCGCCGGCCAAGATGGAAACACGGGGGGAGAGTTTTGACGACGTCTGAGGTCTGAGAACCAGAGGAGCCTCGCCTCGCCTCGTCTACATTATTGCAGGTGGTTTTCACCCAAAAATGTTGCTGATGAGCGCGTGGTAAACATTAGAGGGAGTAGACGATGCTCGGTGAGAGCAAGAGGTGGGATAAGATAAGATGGAGATGCTAAAGCGATGGGAGTTAGCACGTACGTTATTAGATATTGGTCGTCGTTATTTCTTTTCCCCGATCGTATTGGCAGTCTATTACATAGGTACACATTATGTATCACAGGTCTATTCGTTTGTCTTCTTACTACGGTAGCTTAACCAGAAGATCAAGAGATGGTAAGGTAAGCTGTATAACACAACAGATGCCAACAATAGACGCAGCTGCAATCGCATTTCAGCGCCAGAAGGGAGAAGGGGAGGGGGAAAAAACATTCTTGCATGCATTGGCCGCACACCATGCCGTGCCATGCCATGCAGTGTCTGCACCACCCACCAACACCCACACTTGGCTGTAAACTTCAGAGCTGCCGTCGACTTAGGTGACTGCGGATACGTGGGGTATTCGGAGCTGCAACAGAGGACGAGGACCTACGGATACCTACGGATGGATATTCCACACCACCACTTGACGACACTTTCTTTTCCTCACCTTTTCTTTCTTGTGTTCTTGCTCAGGTTGTTCCGGGATACGCGCCCACGCCCAATCCGGCTCTTCGGCATCGACGGGATCAGAGACGAGCTCCGAGTGCAACACATCTCACCCTCGATGTGCGAATCTAAACAAACACCCCGTGAAGCGAAGCTGCGACCAACCCCTCTCCCTCTCAACGGCACCTGAACTTGTTTGACCTTGACAGTCCGGTCCGGCAAATGCGGAGCGACTTTGACTTTTATCTTGAGTGTCAAAGTCAGGAAGAACCCGAAGACGGGTCGGGCACTGGCACTGGCACTGGCACATAGTATTTCGGTCGAGTGTGGCCCCGTCCAATGTCTATTCGTACAAGGTTCCAACGCTCCGATCTGGCATTTCACCACGCGGAGCTTATTTCAGACGCACCACCTGCAGATCATCATGACGGAAGCCTACAGAGTATAGGTAAGATGGGGATGAAGACTTTGCGGGTGAAAGGACTGACTGCCCTCGGCTTCGTCATCATACTTGTCCCTTCCATCAGCTGACGGCTCGGCGAAGCAGGGACACTGGAGGAATAAGGCGCGTTCGGGTCACAGTAAGGTACTTCGTATTCGAACTACCTTACCTACCTTAGTAGGTTGCCCTACCTAGCGTTAAAGACTGAGGTGTGGGTGGTGGGTTAGGTGAATTGGACCACGACGCAAACCCTTTGTGATTGCTGAGGTAATCAACACACAAGATAAGCACTCTGCATCAGGCCCGTACCTTGGTACCTGTCTAAGGTACTGAAGCTTCCTGATGGAATGGAACTGGACGTGTCAGAGCAGACACCGGTCATACGCCGGGGCTGTGCAGATACCCATTGGGGTCGGCTGGGTGAGACTCTCTACACTCACCTCAAGGCAAGGTACCTAATCCATCCACTGGGACCTTTTGGATAGAGCAGCGTCTTTTTGCTTAAAGTTGACCTTATTCGCAACGGCCCTCCCACCCTACCTTGTGCCCGTATTCCAATGCGTGGGGTTGGCGAGAGTCGAGTGCAGCGGGTAGATGGTGATCGCGATTCCAAGGAAGACAAGCCATCTTTGTGGAGGTCGGCATGTTTTTGACATGGGACGATTCGGCTCGAGGGATTTGAGAGAAACTTGGAACGTCCAAGGCCAACCAAGCCCGCCTGTGAAGAACCAAGCGGCCAGACACGGCTCGTTTCAACGTCTTTTGAAAACGTTCTAGATGTCGCTTGCGGGTGTACTGCGTGGTGAAGTAGCATACGTGCCGGCGTGTCGGGGGGCGGCGCAGGTTCCAAGATCAGCATGGAGATGCAGGGTAACCTTGGTAGGAAACATTCTTTTCTGATTCTACGGTGAGATCTGTCGTTGTCGCGTAGGTCCCGTGTTCCATGGTCGTGCCGTGCGTGGGTGGGAAATCTCCGCCATGTCCGACCGAGAACCCACTGGACCCGACCTGCAGAGTGCCTGCCCTACAGACGCCGAGAGGGAATGCCCGACTTTTTAAGGGATTTGGAGGACGGGCCATCGATCATGCAGATGCAGGTCTGTCAGCGCTGCCGCAAATCACGACCGAAGTCGGTCCATCTTCCTCGGTATCCGCAAGGTAGCTAGCTGGAACGAGTGGACCTAGCAGCCGGTAACCACGACTTCCGAAGCAGAAAAGTCACGTCACTCCATGGTCCATACATGGTACAGCACTTCGTAGTTGGTAGCCCAGCTGTATCCGAAGTGGCCGGTGGCCGTGGCCGTGGCCGACGCGCCGCGCGGCACTGATTCCGGATGGCCGAGCAATAAGATGCTCACCTTGAAGCTCATGCTCGGGGTCGGTGTGTTCCATTGGGGCCAACCTAGCCTAGGACCAAACGGAAGGCAAGTGACAGCAACCGGCGTGGTTGATGCCGATGGTCAGGCTATCCGTATTGGTCGCCGCTAAGGAACTGCACACGAGTTGGTTGTGGAGGAGGCGAGGTATTCTGTATCAGGCCATCATAGCCGATTTGCTTGTGAGCTGATGGGAGAAACCTTCCAACCCGAATACGAAACCAAACGTGTCCCCCATCCACATCGATGGCGCGAATCTACTTGTCAGAACCTATCAAAGCACAATTGAAAAAAGATGGCGGTCTTCCCAGGGGAAGGCACCAATCAAAGGGGCCAATGGCTTTACGCCGTCCCTCCATCACGTTGAACATTGAACCTCTTCCCCCCCAAAAAAGGGATCCAGGACCAGATCCATCTCCCGGCCCCGGAACTCCATGATTGGCATCATGCCATCCGGTACCCGAGTAACAGCTGGAGCAAAACGGAAACGTGCCATAACAAGATTGCCCTCAGGCGGCGTCGTGTGATTGCTGCTGAAGATGATGGTCGGTGTGGTGTTTGTTGCGGGAGAGTCCGGGGGCCTGGATTGGAGGTTCGAACAAGTTGAGAGAAATGATTCAGATTGGTTTGCAGGTTACGGATACCTTACCTACCTCACCTCAGGTACGGTCATTCGGGGGGAGGAAATAAAAGAAGACCTACTCCCGCTCCCGCCACCCGTCCGTCGTCATGCTGTTGGAAGCTTGTTCGGCCGTGTGAGTTAAGCAACCACCTCACCTCACCTCATCTCAATTCCTTTTTTCCATCGTGCATACCTACCTACCTAGTACGGCGGGATTGTCATCTCACCTCCAGCTATCTTCAAACCTTAGCCCGAGGTACCCTGATCTTTTCCTGTACCCGTCTGTGCCTTGCGCTTGCGGAGGACTGGACTGGACACAACCACACCATACCTACCATACTTCAGTACGCCAAACATACTTTTTTTGGTTTTACCGAATCGAAGGGACCTGCCATTGACATTGGCATTGACATTGGCATATTCCAATCTTCGTCCAGTCAGAGCAGAACGCCTCGCTTGGCCTTGGCCCTTCCTGAGGTATTCCCATCCCTCATTATCCAAACTCCAGTCACCCCGAACTTCTCGAAGGAATCGCCGACCTCCCCGTCTCCGTCTCCGTCATCGTCATCACCGGCACCCCTTTCTTCCTCTTCGCCCCATCCTTTTCCACCTCCACCTTACCGCACCGATACTGCCACCATCCATCCAGTCCAGTGTCCTCCTCGGGGTCGTCGTAAAGCCCCCCGCCGTCTGCTGCCACGACTTATCCGCGACTTACAGCACAATCCTTACCTCTCTACCTTAGTGCAGAGGTGCCAGACACCGCCGATCCCGCCCCTGGTTGGTTTTGCCCGGGCACCTCGCAGTCGCAGTCGCAGCCGCAGCCGCAGCCCAGCAGCGACGACGGTGAACCTGGCAGTCCCATTTAGAGGCAAATTGCTCTCCCCTCTTGTGGCCCCAGAATTTTTTTTCAACCAAAAACGTCCGATAAGATCTCTCGGAGCCAACGATATTCCCGAGCTCCCTCCACCCCCCGGCTCAGGTCACCTCCCGTCGTCTTGCGTCTCGACCTAATATTCCGTACCGCGATTTTTTGTTTGCGCTGCCACCTTCTCTCCTGTCCTGCTCGCCTACCACTTACAAATTCGTTTCGCGCTCCTCCTTTCCGCCTCCCCTTCGATCCTCCTTTTACCCTCTTTCTCTCCCCCCCTCTGTCCCTCTGTATCTCTTTCTCTCTCTGCCGTCACCACAACACCGGCAACTCGTCGCATCTCCAACCCGGACCTCGAACCTCCCTCCAACCCAAAAGCCGACTGTCTCGTCACCATGGATATCGTTCTCGAGGTGATCGACACCTACGTCGGCGACAAGCTCTGGGCTTCGCTGCTGCCCGCCGGCGCCGCCCCTTACGACTTCCCCCACACTGCTGCCAACGCCACGGCGCAACCGCTTTCGACATGGCAGTACAAGCCCGCGACTCACTGGCTCTATCTTGAGCCTTCCGAGGCCGCCTACATGAGCGCCTGGCCTCGAGACAACATCTTTCGCCAGTTCACTTCTCTTTTCCTCGTCACCTGGTACGTCCGGAGCGCACTCCTGACTCGTCTCGTCCGATCACTAACAGCAATCATCCTAGGATCTTCGGTCTGCTCAACTACTTCGTCTTCGCTACCCTCTCTTACATCTTCATCTTCGACAAGAAGACGTTCAACCACCCCAAGTTCCTCAAGAACCAGATCCGCCTCGAGATGAAGCAGGCCAACCAGGCCATGCCCATCATGTCCCTGTGCACCGCTCTCACCTTCGTCGCCGAGGTTCGCGGCTACTGCAAGCTCTACGACACCACCGAGGAGGGCCCTGGCCGCTGGTACGACTGGGCTCAGTTCCCGCTCTTCATCCTCTTCACCGACCTTTGCATCTACTGGATTCACCGATGGCTGCACCTGCCCTCCGTCTACAAGCACCTCCACAAGCCTCACCACAAGTGGATCATGCCCTCTCCTTACGCCAGTCACGCCTTCCACCCCCTCGACGGTTTCGCCCAGTCTATTCCGTACCACGTCTACCCCATGCTGTTCCCCCTGAACAAGATGGCCTACGTCGCTCTCTTCATGTTCATCAACTTCTGGACCATTCTCATCCACGACGGAGAGTACATTACCGACAACCCGATCATCAACGGCTCCGCATGCCACACTGCTCACCACCTGTACTTTAAGTGAGTCCGACCCTCCGCGAGCGTGAAGACGTTTGGCGATTGCTAACTCGGTGTCCGCAGCTACAACTACGGCCAGTTCACCACGCTCTGGGACCGTCTTGGTGGCAGCTATCGCAAGCCTGATCTGGCTTGGTTCAACAAGCAGACCAAGATGTCGCAGGAGACCTGGAAGGCCGGCATCAAGGACATGGAGAAGATCCAGAAACAAGTCGAGGGAGACGACGACCGCCAGTACGGAGCGGACGTCGACCAGAAGAAGAAGAACTGAGAGCAGACGTGCTCTCGACAGCAGGAGCCCCCTCGCGGGACCCCGCTCACACAAACTCTCCGGCGCTGGCAACGGCTGCCCATGACTGCATTATAAACGCTTGTAATACCTGGACGTTGCCAGACTTTCGACTGTACATATGGAAATCAGCACTCTCTGATGTTGAGAAAAAGTTGGATCAAGACGATGAAATGACTGGACTCGCTCGGGCAAGCACGCCCACGATGACCTGGCATCTAGTGAATGCGCCGTGTCGAGTCCTCAGTATAATAACTAGTAGCGTAGTCCGATTCCCATCTTACCATGGACGGTTTTGGATACCAATCAAATATTGATGTGAGGGAGTATGAAATGTTGGGAACGTCATGAGAGGCACCACGTGGATCATGCAGGTGTGTGCTGTTGGCAGAGTTGAGGACAAAATCAGAAATGACATTGAAAGCGATTGACACGCGCTTTGCATGTGACGCTATGAACGGACTAACAAGTTTGACGCTACGAACGAAGCCCATGCGCGCCTCTCGAGTTCCACTCGAGAAATTCCAAAGACATGGGGAATATAAAAATGTGGAAAGCCTTGAACTCCTCATCTCTCCAAACCCGCGGGATATAGTAGTAAAGACATGCAAGCGATCAAGGAAAACAGTTGGTGTCGGTGTCGACGCGTGTGGTGAGTTTATGGTCGCTCGGTGGCGTGCCATGGTGTATCGTAGGTGGGTTATTTTACGAGGGTAGGAGTGACCCCGGTCTTCAAAGGTCCGTCCCTCGATCCGGGGCCTTCCACCGTCCCGACGCGCCGTCTTCATCGAAACGCAGCGCTGATCATCAGGTGTAATAGAAGGTGCCGTATCATGAGCGTCCAAGTCTAGACTCGTCCCTTTAACTGAAAGTGACGGCCTTGGGATCCAGCGGGCGTCCGTCGGGGCCGATGCCGTTGGCCTTGAAGCGGTTCTCCATGTAGACCCTTCGTGCGTCGTCGAACCTCATGCGGCGCTTCTTCATGATCTTGAGAATCTCGGCCTTGCTCCGATCGTCGAGACCGGCGCGGCTGTCGCCGGATTCCACGTTGCCGCTGAGGTCAAAGGTCGAGCTCGAGAGCCCCGCCTCCATGTCGCCGGTGAAGGTGGAGGGGAGGCGGGAGTAGATGTAGTCGCGGCCGGGGATCGGCAGGTTCGGGAGGAGATGCAGCCAGTAGGTGCGGGTGAAGTAGAGCGCGGTGGCGATGACGAGGGCGAAGAAGGAGACGGAGTAAAGAAGGTAGGACATTTTGTCGGTGTCCAAGTCGTATATCGTAGTTGTGGAAGAAGGGTATCGTAGGATTGTGACGTCGGGGTGCGAGAGGTCTTGGGCGCGATGCGATGCAGACGGGTTTCAGCTCTGCTCACAGTGCAGGTCGCGGGTTGCAGTCTTCGGTATGTTCGGGTTCTCGGTTGCGAAGGGAATGCGACAACAAAAATGAGTCGCTGTGTGGTGGGTATCGATCGGTAAGGTAGTTTGTTACAAATTGTTGAGGGCGAACGAAAAGAACGAGGGGGAAGATGTCTAGGAAATGAAATAAAAAGAGGGTGGTCGAAAGCAACGGTCAGGGGAACCGCCGTCTGTTGCTTTCAAACGGTCATGTCGGGGTCTTGTACAGGGCGCGGGGAGAGGGGCTGTCAAATAAATTCTGTGACGGTTTGTTTGAAGCTTTTTGAAAGTTGAAGGTGGCTAAAAGCGCGGGAGTGAAGGAAGAAGGGACGGGATGGATGGCCGTCGTGTGATGATGGGCAGCGCCCAGCTCTCTCTCAGGCTCTCGGGGCTGTCATCACCCCGTGCATTCCGTCCGATCCTGCCAGTGGCCTCCCTCATAGCTCCCAAGTAAAGCACCAGTTCTACTCCACTCCCAGAAGGTCAGGGTGGTACGTAAGAGCGCAGGCGCAGGCGCAGGGGCTGCTAATACCAAGAAGCTTCACGTCACGTGAACTCCGGACCCCTTCTCTCTTCGGGGCCCTGGGTTCCCTTGGCCGGGGAATGGTGCGGGCCTGCGGAAACAGCCCAGCACACTCAGCTGCCGGTGCTGTTTGTACCTTGCTGGGACTGTCAGCCGCACCATCACCCCACCACAGGAAACTTCCCCAGCAGGGAAAGATTCGGAGTCGTTCAGGGGTCACTCCCGTCTGTACGGCGGCCGTGATCCGGACGGGACAACAAATGGATCTCCAGCATCCCGGTCTCCGCAGATGGACGAACGCCGGCCGATGGCGGACTTACCTATCGTTGTTTCTATCGACGCATACTCCGAGAGTTGACAATATTGTCATCAAGCTTGATGCTCCCATGATGAACTTGCCTTCTTACTCGGGTTCCAATCTCCATGAAACCCGTTCAGCATTGTTCGCATGATGCTGGTTACGACCTGTGAGCTGGGAAACCTTGCAAACTCCCGTTAGCTCGCTGGGGTGGACCCGCCCGCTGCTGAACCTTCGACCGGCCCGAGCTGGGCAGCCTCCGATAACGACGGCCCCGGCCTCATCCTCCCAGCCAAAATGATACGTTGTATCAGCCACTATGTGCGGTAGAGTGAACGGTTATGCTCGGCGTCTTGCTCGCTGGACCACAATCAACTCCTGTCTTTCACGCTCAATTCGAATGTAATCCTCCTTTACTCAGTCTAGCTAGTTGATCATCCTCCTGTCAACTTCCGTCGTATAGCACACATCGACACAGTGTCTTGGTCCCCGACTGGGACGCGCATCAAACAGCGACTCCATCGGGCCCTCCCTGTACACTATTGTTTGCCAATTCAGTGATTTGAACGTCTCATGGTAGACCAGATTGACCGACTCGGTCGAAGTCCCGAGATGAGAGTCTATATGAAGGCAAGATTCACCACGTTTGGGTTGTCCAGAAAGCGCTGATCCCTACCTCAGAGACTTCCTCTTCTTTTCTTTTTTCTTCGATATTTGCCCGGTCAGAATTGACCAAGACATACCGAGCAAACGTCATTCTGCTCGTTTTTCGGGCAATCGCTAAGGTATTTAACGACTATGATTTTGGGATTTTTGTCGGAGCACTCATCACCCGGTATTACTCGAGAGTGCTTGGACTATTCAAGGAAGGATGAAAACAAGTAACAAATGGAAATCTTCCCTTGAACAAGAGGCTAGTGATTCGCTCATGTTATGCCTTCAGTCCCACTGTTTTTCGAGCTTGACGTACTCGTTACAACTCAATTTACGACCGCAAGACGCTCTGTATGGGCTTTTGACTGCATCACGATTGCCCGTGTGTCATTGCCCTGTATATAACCACCTTTCCGATTCGCCGTCTTAGCTTTAGCTAAGCCCACTTGTCAGCACTGTAGTATAGGCGTGTTGGAGATGTAGGCTACGCAGAATTCATTTAGGAGTGGTGTTTATGATGCTTGTTACTTCGATATCAAGGTGCTGTCACCACGCATGCAGATCCAGCCCGGGTTCGAGCTCCTGATTCGACGTGGTTGCATATGTACCCTGAACCAGACGCTTTCTAGTATCATCTCTACTGTCCTGAAAAGATAGAATCTTAGCTGGGGCGGGATTTCGACTCATCCAGGGCCCTTAGGCTATAGTGCTCGGAAGTTTGTGCCCATGTCCAAGGCACCCGCCATGAACAACTTGACATCGTAGCCATAACCCACTGGAAAAGTGGCCATCAAGGATTCCAAGTACTTGCATTGGAGGCGGCAAAGAGATGCCAAGTTAGTGAGCGCCAGTCGGGTACAAGGAGACGCCGAGCGCGAGTGGCGTAACACGGGACGGTGATACGTTCTTGGTCGCAGACTCTCACTCGTGAAGCTTTTGAAGCTTCCAATCCTTTCGACATGTTGTGACCACTGAATAGGATATCTCACCGAATCGAAATAGGTGACACGATGATGCCACGGAGGCTAGAATACCCATCATGGAGGTTCCGAAATAGGACACTAGCGGCTATGGCTCTGTCTCTTGAACAAAAGACCGACGAGACGAGACCATGCGGACGATGATGCGTATGGCAGTGGTGAGACGGAAATACGAGCTGCGTGAACCGGACGTCAATGACGGGAGACCCAACGCCCCCGCGTCCAGTCGTCGAAAGGTGAGGTGCCCGAGCTCCGGAATTAGGCCGCACCGCCATCATCATCACCAGCCACATCCGTGCCGGCCGGGGCCCGGGGGGGGACCTGGAGCAGGGCTTTGCCCGGCCGCTTCGATAAGATAAGCAGTGGCTCGTGGACCCACAGCTAAGCGACTCGGACAACCCACAGAAGGTGCACAATTCCAGGTCGGCCGTTTTCGAACACGCGCGCGAAGAAGAAGGTATTCATCAACCATTCCGTGATCCTCAGAAATCAGTCAAAATGGCCGCCGCTCTGCCCAACGTTTCCGCCGACCTCATCTGGGAGGTCGTTCGTAAGTCGCCACTCCGTCATGCTGCCGTCCGGCCAAGAGACGACCCGACCACCAGAAAAAATACGCCTTTACTGATATCCGCGGCATCATAGGCAACCAGAACGCCTTCCTGGTCAACCGCAACGACGCTGGCGGTCTCCAGCTGTCCCGCGACCCCCTTAACCTGGTCAACAAGCACTCCCGCAAGGTACGTTCATGTCGAAATTGTGCAAAGCCATGAAGATGGGCGCGATTGAGAGGAATCTTGGCTAACGATGGGTGCAGTACGCTGGTTTCGTCAACGACAAGGTACATACACTCCCACCCTGAACGAGCCACCGACATTCCACACCGACCACGATGCGAAGGCGACGGACTGTCCGACCGATCGAGTGCATACAGTGACTGACATGACGTCTCCGATATAGGCTATCGGTGTTGTCCCCGCCGAGAAGGGCGGTGTCAAGGTCATCTCCAAGAACCAGAAGAACGGCAACAAGCCCGCTCAGGGCACCACCGAGGTCACCTACGGCCCCAACAAGTCGACGCGCAAGTGAGTTCATCTCGGAACCCTACCCCGCGAGCCCATCCGGAGCCGCATCGGATACACGGCCGGTGAACGGGAGATACTGACGGTGTGCGACCTCCAGGACCTACAAGGCCGTCGCTCTCCAGTCCGCCAACGGCGGCTACCGTGCCGACCTCCGTGAGGCCGCTGTTCAGCGCGCCTCTGCCCTCCGCCGCGCCCAGAAGCCCGTCAAGCCCGAGGCTGAGAAGAAGCCCCGTGGCGTCAAGGCCAAGAAGGCCGCCGAGAAGACTGAGGCATAAATTGCTTGATGTTTAGCGGACGGGAAAGGCTTTGGTTTGGGCGTTACGTCGAGCAAATAGAAATACCTTTGAGGACACAGGCGAACAAATCAAAAGCTTGAGTCAAGGCCAAAAATAATGACAGGACTGGGTTGCAATTGCTCCAACGAAATGTGTTTGACGGTGAAGACCGTCAACTGTGTTAGTGTGCAACTGTGTCTTTGTGAAGACCATGGCTCGGAGCGGTAATGGCTTGGCCGCGGCTATGCTATGGGCATCATGCGGAATCAAGTTAGGTGCTAGTTTCCTAAATCCTCGTGATGCCGGATTCTCGGCCGTCACCCGGCGTCGCCCGACCGCATGAAGCAGTGATCTACCGCTGAACCTCGGGATAACGGGCGAACACCGGAATCCAGGCGGATCATTCGGCTTTTCGTCGCCCGCGCCAACTGACGATATCTCGCGGGTCGTTTAGCTCCTCACCCGGAGTAAGTCTTCGCCGACTTTGACCTGTTTGCACACTCTCCAGGTGCTCCCGTCTTCTGCAACATGGCGGGGTATTTTTTACCAGGGTCCAGACAAGTACGTACCGCAGGTAGTAAATCTGCTGTCGGCGAGACAGGTAATAATTACCTGAAAGGACGTCTTCGGATATTAATCGTGAGTCTGGTTTACCTTATTCTCTGTTGAAATGCTCCATAGCCAGACACACAGAGACAGGGCATCAAGCTGGAATCGTCTCAACATATTTGTGATAGTCGTCGAATGATGCAACCCGGGTCACAGCGTCCTGCTCGGCATGGGAAATGGGAACACCTCATTGAAACCGGCGATGGAGACAGGGGATACAGGCCTGCTTGTTTCTTCCGCACCCGAGTTTTGGCTATACATAGGTCACAGCTCTCCTCCCGTGTGTCGAGACCGAGACCGTCTGTCCATCGTCAGCAGGAAGACATCGGAAGGCATTGGCTACGTGCCGGGAGTTGACGGGGACGGCGGGCTGTCTCCGTCATTCACATGCATCAGCCCGACCGTTGGCAGGAAATGGCGGGCGAATGAATGGCGGGGGTGGGTGCAGTCGGGGTCGCCTACCTTAGGTACATACGCCTTTGCCTTTTACCTACCTACCTTACCTCAAGATGGGAAAGCTGTTTCTGAGGAGGGAGTGGCAGGGAAAGATTCCTCCTTAACCTGAGTGTCTCACTGAGGGGCGCTTCAAGACACTGGACAGTGAAAGAATAGAATAGGCAAACCGAACCTGGACAAAACAAGGTCGGCGGGGAGGGGTACTTGTACTTGCTCTTTGTTATCTCCCATGTCCCGAGACACGCAGCGTAAGGCATGCATTCTGCTGCGTGCGGCTCTCTGCAACTTTAGTACGGCGCATGTACCTACCTATCCCCTCGAGGCATCATCTCATCTCGTCTTACCTACCTACTCTATGGGACCTATCCGACTCCTGAGCTATTCATGATTCTGCGCATCGCTGGCGCTGCGCTACTACCTACCCTGCCCCCAAGATGCCCCTCTTTTCACCCCTCCATCCAATGATCTGGATTGGTCTCATCCATGGATGGGGGTGAGGTGGGAGCATGGTCGCAATTCTCCCCGCGGTTGAACCTACGTCCCCGCCGACAAGCCTCCGGACTAGGTATCATCTGCTGGCTCTGACTGCTACTACTTCTAGCCTTCTGTTGCCCCTTCTTTCCTTTCTCCTTCTTTCATTCCAAAAAATAACAAACCCTTTACTTCTGATCCCATCTTGCGCATCGTGTCTTGCGTCCCCCCAAAGCAACTTGCGCGCCGCTGAAAGTACGTCCCAGTCCCGATCACGGAAACCCGTGAGCTTGCAGTCGAGCTCCATAGTACCTCCGCAAGGAGCTTGACGACTTGCCGAGCAAGCTCCTGAGCTACCGTACCTTACCCGTACGAGATCACCCCGCTAATCCGCCAGAACCGTCCAGGAAACCATCACTTTCCCCTCCTACAACCTCAAATCGAAATCACCGCAAAATATCCAAAATGGTCAAGGCCGGTACGCTTTCTCAAAGCCGCCGCCCAGGATAGCCTCCTTCTAACCGTCTTCCAGTTGTTGCTGGCGCCTCTGGCGGTATTGGACAGGTAAAGTGACGCAAGACCCCGCCTTCTGAGCAAAATCCAAAGTTGCGCATGGACTCACCATCTCTCTACCACAGCCTCTGTCCCTCCTTCTCAAGCTCTCGCCTCTCGTTGACGAGCTTGCTCTCTACGATGTCGTCAACACCCCCGGTGTTGCCGCTGACCTCTCCCACATCTCTTCTCAGGCAGTACGTAAAACAAGATCCAATTGACCCGTGCTGTCGTAGTCTTTGCATGCTAAACAGCCTTCCCCGCAAACAGAAGATCGCCGGCTATCTGCCCAAGGACGACGGCGCAAAGGCCGCCTTCAAGGATGCCGACATCATCGTCATCCCCGCTGGTATCCCCCGTGAGTTACACATCGCAATTTTTATGTGTGCTGCAGCCATCTGACGCAAGCCCCCTCTAGGCAAGCCCGGCATGACTCGTGATGACCTCTTCAACATCAACGCCGGCATCGTCAAGGGCCTGATCGAGATCGCGGCCGAGGTCGCCCCCAAGGCTTTCATCCTCGTTATTTCTAACCCTGTCAACTCTACCGTCCCCATCTCCGCAGAGGTCCTCAAGGCGAAGGGTGTCTTCAACCCCCAGCGTCTTTTCGGTGTCACCACCCTCGACATCGTCAGAGCCGAGACCTTCGTCGCCGAGATCGCTGGCAAGTCCAAGCCCCACGAGCTGACCGTCCCCGTCATTGGCGGCCACTCCGGCGAGACGATTGTTCCTCTCTTCAGCCAAGTCACCCCCTCCGTCACCATTCCCGACGACAAGTACGATGCTCTTGTCAACCGCGTTCAGTTCGGTGGTGACGAGGTCGTCAAGGCCAAGGACGGTGCCGGCTCTGCCACGCTGTCCATGGCCTATGCCGGTTTCAGGTAAGAAAAGGACCATTACCGCCACAGGGGCGAAGGGTCGTGCTAACAACGCCAGATTCGCCGAGAAGGTCCTCAAGGCCGTCAAGGGCGAGAAGGGTCTTGTTGAGCCTAGCTATGTCTACCTGCCCGGTGTCCCCGGCGGCAAGGAGATTGCCGCCAAGACCGGCACCGACTTCTTCTCCGTCCCCATCGAGCTCGGCGTAAGTCGCTACACGCCCCTCGTCGCCAAGCTGATACTGACATTGAGTAGCCCAACGGTGCCGAGAAGGCCGTCGACATCCTCGGCAACATCACGGACAAGGAGAAGACGCTGCTGGAGGCCGCTGTTAAGGGCTTGAAGGGCAACATTCAGAAGGGTGTCGACTTTGCCCACAACCCCCCTCAAAAGTGATTACCCCCCCTTTGTACATTTGCAGCAACAGCCCCGTTCCCCCGCTCGAAGAAGCCTCATGATTGCTTCCAGATTGTAGCCAAAAAGGCGATAGATGAAATACAACCGCGAGGGAGAATTAATGGCTGATCGTTTTCTCTTTTCCCTAGGCTGTGAGGTGGTGTTTGACCTCGAGTGTGTCTGTAGCTGATCGGCTTACTACGTCAACTGATCTCGTGTGATTTCGCGGCTTGGAGGGCGTCTGGGTATTTGGATATGACAACCGGTGGTAACTCCCGCCCGCTCTTAATGGAGACTTGTATGTATGTGGAGATAGAAACCTTCTGGAATCTACTCGGAATGACCGTACTCCTTCTTTCTCTCTCCTCCAACAGGATCTTTGTGACGACTGCGCTGTTTGTGTCCTTCTGATGCCTACCTCTTCAAAATTGCGCGCTGCGTGTGTATCCCATGGGTACTATGTGCTCGAAGGTAGCGTCTTAATCTGGAAGATGGCGGCCGGCAGTTCGTTCGTCTCGGCCTGGACGGTGGCATTGATCCCCAATGCCGCCAGGGCTCCACGGACGATTCCGCAAGGAAACCAGAGAAACTGTTGCCGGGAGAAGTCAGCTTCCATCCCGTAGAACCCCACAACGACAGGACAGACGTACCGGTTGTGCCCGAACCACAGCCTGACCCCCCGTCTCCGTGCTCATTCTCGAGAACGGCTTGAATGAATTGTCTGTCAACACGTAGACGCCCTGTGCCGGGTCAGCGTTTGTTCACCCTGCTCTTCCCGAGAGCATCCGTCACCCCGAGGATCTCGGGCAGCCACGCACCCTATGATTAGTCTTGAGGTTGTCGACTTGTTTCCGGAACACCAGCGACCACAGGTCCTTGCACACGAACTTGATGACGTCGAGCGTATCGTTGAACCGCGGCCTATCCCTCGAGAACCTATTCAAACCCCCGACCCGTTAGCCCCCGATGGGCATACTGCACCAGGCGGTATATGGAGCACATTACCTCTCCACAAGTCCCTGTCCAACTCTATATCCCAGCGTCTCGAGACGATAAAAGACAGCATCCCTCTCCTCATCTTCGTCCATCTTCCGCGCGCTGCCCGCCTGAACCGCTCCGCTCGCACTCGACGGCGCTAGACCAGCTCCTGGCGCAGCTTGACTGTGGCTCATTGACGACGACGCATCTCCGGCAGCATCAGATGCCTCCGTCGGAACTATGTCGAGCTCCCTCGTCACGCGGAAGGCCATTGGCACGAGCTCGATGAGGAGGAAGTCGAGACAGGAGGAGTTGAGAAAGGAGGCCGTCGGGTCCGAGGCGTTATATGGGGGCATCACGCTTTCGAAGGACATGATTGCGATCTGGATTCGAGCCTGGCGTTGCCGTCTCCGTCGTGCTCTTCGGTTCGGTCTCGTAGATCGATTGCGATGGAGAGTAGGTGCATGCAAGGCAAGGCAGATAGCGATGCGATTTTGCAACGATCGGATTATACAGCTCTAGATCGAGCACGTGAATACGCCAAGCTGTGTCGGAATTCGTTGATCCTCAACGCGAGGGTAGGTGTCGTGTAGGTACGTTGTCGAGTGCCGTATGTGTACAGGTGAACGGATGAACGCTGGACAAGGTCGTAGGTACCACTGAACGTTCAGGTACGTACTATCGCAAGCCAGGCTAAGGTACCTTAGAGGAGGCTCGTAGCGGGGCTCCCGCCGAGTTTGACTCCGACACTACCTGACTTACTGTATCCATACGCGTTACGAAGGCTACTCATCGCTCGTGCTAGCATTCAAATCACTCATATACAATACAACTTCTTCTGCATCGTCTTTTTTCTTCTCCTTCTCTCTCTCCCTTGGTGTTTGATTGCTTGCTATATCGACTGCCATTCGCCAGATCGAGGACTTCAAGATCCGTCGATCCGTTCGCTTGCCTGTCAAAGCTCTTGCTAAGGCCCGTATCAATATTTTCTTCCGAGCATCAATGCCCTTCTTCCATGATTTGTAAAGTAGACTCTCAAGGATGGGATATGTTTTGCCTCCAACGCCAGTGCAGCTATCCATCCGTTCCGTCCCACGCCAAATTGTAAGATGCACACGTACTTCCACACCTCTGGAGCCATTGGGTATATATGTACGTGCCCTAGAGCCTCCAACCCAAGACATCGCCGGGGTTTTCCCAAGATAGAATGTAGGATAGAGGAGAGGTGATGATGACACCTCAGTAAAGTGAACCGCCATAACCATTGGCATAATTAGTCGCCGACGGCGGTTGCAGCTGCTGCCGTTTTGGAGGCGGCTGGATCGGTTCGTCGTCGTCGTCGGACAAGGTAAGATCTATCGTCACTCTTTCACTGTGCGGTCTCTTGCCACTAGTGGAACCAAGACCACGCGGCATCGTCGAGCTTTCACGCGACATGGCCGTTGTCGTTGGCGTTGCCGTGCTGGCAACTGACCGGTTTGGTGTTTCGAAGTTGCGACTGCGGACGACACTGACCTCCTGGATGATGAAGTCGTCGTCATCGTCATCATCGTCAACCGCTCCGTTTCTACCGTTGGTCGACTTGTCGTCCTGCGACGAATTCACTCGCCACTGTCCGTCAGGCTCGATGGTGACTTGGTCCAGTGATTTAGACGTGTTTGCCAAGATCTCCTTGACATACCTTGAGCCATAGTTAGTTGGTGCCCAGGGCAGGGGGACATAATTCTGGCTTGTTTACTTACTCGTCAACCGCAAGCTGATCAAACGGCGCAGGTTTGTTACAGATAGGGCACAGCCACTGGGGCCCTTGCTCTTGCAACTGAAGATATGATGTCGCATCAAAACACTGAATGTGCGTGCAGGAAGTAGAGCGACATGGGACGTCAAGCCGCATATAGGAGAGTGGGCATTTGAGAGACAAGACCTGGGATGTCGTCACAATGTCCGTATCCGCTGCCTTCTTGCTGACTGCCTCGTGGTTAACATTTTCCCCAAAGCCATGAGAAGTGAACTCCAATACTCACTCTCCTGGATGACCGATTGCTTGGGTATCTTTCTGCCGGTTTTGATTTTTTCAGCTAGCGCCTGGGCTGTCGTGATCTTGCAGACGTAGACAACTAGATAGAATTTCTGGTTCGGAGTGTTCTGTCAGCACCAACCGCAAAGAAAACACCATATGACATGGTTTCTGCACCAACCTTTTGTGTCAAGGCGTATGTGAACTCGACGAGGGTTCGGACGTCATTTTTCAGGCGCAGAAAACTCGTGATATCGACCGGCCTTGTCGACCCTGGCTTATTTTTCAAACCCCTCAGGTTGGCCTTGACCTCATTGCCATTTATCTTGATCTCCGATTGGTGTGGAAAAGAGATGTTCTGGATCTCGTTGTTGTTGTTCTCGGCGCAGAACACCATGACACGATACAGATCCTTGTTTTCTACCACTTTGTTGAGCGACGGGCAGTCGTTGAGTCTGATCGGAATGGAAACCATGTTTCTATGTTGGCTCATAGCTGGAGAGGTCAGCAGGAGTCGACGTATAATGAGGCAGCCGGTGACAACTCACTCTCACAGACACGAACGTCACCAACCCGGGACTCCAGCTCGTAGAACGGAGTATCCTTGAATCGCGGGCCTGAATACATTTAGCTCGTTGTAACCGAGGCGCAAACAACGTGTGCCAACGCACCGATTGTGGCCCCAAAACCGTGTGCCGTCGAATGGCCATTCGGACCCGTAGGTCGACCGTTTCGTGGGCTCCAATATGAATCTTGTCGCATGACGCCGGGCTGTGAGGTTGCAGGAGGACGCGCCGTCTTGTGGGATGCAGGCGAAGAAGAACCGCCAGTTCGGGTGGTCTCGATACTTCGTTGGATTTGCTGGAAGCGGGTAACATCGCCAGCATTGAAAGCGTCTTGGATAGCTGGTGGGCAGAAGAGTCAGCGTGATAATTTCAGGCGCGCAAGACAGCTATAGCCATGGCAGGGGACGTGGACGACGCGCCGAGCTGACGAATCCCAAGTTTCTTGGAAGCCCGCTTGGAAAGCACGAGCAAAAACGGATACGGTCGAGATTCTTATCGAGTACGGGTTGGGGATGTCAGGCGCAACTCACCGTTCACGATGCGACCCTGCAGCGCCGCCTTAACCCCGCTGCTAGTGAGACCGTTCAGCTGACAGATGCTCGAAAGTTGTCGATTAAGCAGCTGGTTGCTGTTGACCAGCTTGACCAGAGCCTGGAGCTCATGCCTCGGGATGGAGGTCATGGTTCTCGGGCGAGAGAAGAGTATCGCGGAGGCTCTCTCGGTGACGGCCTCATGAAGGTTTGCGGATGCGACGTCGGACAGACTTCGGGCTCGGCAAGAGCAATGACTTCGGGGTCGATAACCGTACGCTCTTTGGAGGTGGAGTTAGGTAAAAAGAGAAGGGAAAAACGAGCAAGGTGCACAAAGAATGGAAATGAAGAGGTATCTGAGGTTCAAGTGGAAGGAACGGGCGCGACCGACCACTCGAAGCAGGAGCGACAAGGCTCGTGGTGCGCGCCGACAGCCAGAGGGTCAGAGGAAAGTGCGTGGGGAAGTCGGTCGTGGAGGCAAGGGCAGGGTCCCAAATGCGTGTTAAGAGCCGTGGCGGTTCTTTCCCTCTCGAGTGCGGCTCTTTCTCCACCTCCGTTCCACGACGATTTCTACCTACCTAGCTAGGTACTTAAGGTAAGGTAGGTACGATACCAGGTAGGTGGACCTGAACCTGGAAGGCACCCAAGAAGAAACGGAAGGTTAAGGCACCTTACCAGACCATGGAAGGTTGCATATGACGCGGTGCGAAAATCCGCAAAGGGGGGTATTGATAATGAAATAGCCCGGATGCTACCAGAGGAACCTAGCTTCAGGTAAGCTGCCTGTAACGAGCACGACCTAGGCACTTTGAAGTTATTCGCAACTGGTATCTTTCTAGGTACCGTAGGATATTGCTTGCCAACTGCTGAAAAAAGAATCAAATAAACCGAGGAGTATTGGTGTTAGAATTCTGTCTCCTGAGGTGACTAAATAGCCCGTCCAACATTATCGAGGCTTCGGGGAGCGGTCGGGGAGCTGGCGCATCTACAGTGGACGGCGGTCGCTGTTTCACCATACGCGTGCCCCTAAAACTGGCCTACTCCAGCAGCCGAGTCTGAAGGTACCTCATGCCAGAGCGCCCAGTCTTGACCTCACCGCCTGTGGCAGAACTAGCCGTGTATGCATATATCCGTACGCCCTCGTCTTATGCAATTGAACCAAATGTGGGGGTGATCATAGCCGGCAGGCCCCGCGACTGGGCAGCGGCGGAGCAGACGTTGGTCTGGCCCGCGCGTGCCCAGGGATTGTGAGTGCTGCTGACCCGGTGTGCTTTTTGAGAGGCGGGGCGGACTGGTTCGTGGAAATTTTCCTACAGAGCTCAACACCGCACATCTTCACAGAGTCTCTCTCACCATTCTCTCAGCCTCGAATTTTTTTTATAATACTAGCCGCGTTCCTGAATCATCAGTAATTCATCCTGCTGCTATTTTTCTCAAACTCATCTCAACTCGAGCGATACAAATCACCCTTAGCTGGGCCCACCGCAGACATGGCCAAGAGCGCGAGATCCAGCGTCAGGAAGAACAACAACCAGAGACTCAAGAAGAATGTCTTTGGTCCCGTTGAGTCTCAGAGAACCGAACGTCTCTCGGCCAAGCTCTTGGAATTAGCGAAGGCCCCGAAACCTGAGAAGGAGGCTGATGTCAATATGGATGCTGACGAGCAAGATGATGGTGAGTGCGAAGACAATGTTTTCCCCCCCTCATGCGCAGCATCACACTGACGACACTCTAGCGCAAATCAACCCGGATGAGGGTGATGAGGATATCAAGAAGGCCGAGGACACCCGTAAGCATTGGCAACTCACTCACTTTCGTCTCGCAGACAGTGTAACTGACACCAGTCAAGGCATGGAGGTCGACTCGTCGAAGCCCCGTCGCAGGTCTGGTAGGATCCAGAAGCAGAAGAAAACTTCCAAGATTGTATTCCCCAAGTACAAGGACCGTCGCGGAGGCTCCAAGAAGAAGGCCTGAACGTCTCGAGACCACCATGCAATTTCAGCTGCGGAAGCATTTTGCTTGCCTATGGACATGCTGAAGGCTACTGCTTCAAGCATTCTTCTTACGGGAGTTTTGTGGACAGGGTCTGTTTTATTTTTTTTTGGTTTTTGGGTTTTTTTTTACCTCTTCCGTGGTCCGAGGATTCGGTTCAACGGTCCTCTCTCTGTCTCTTGGTTTGAGACTAGGATGAAAGTGGAGGTGTTGCATCTGCGACAATAACATAGATCGAACCGCCATGACCGGTTCGAACTCGCAGGAATAGGAATGTAAACTGCTGCCTCGAGGCTTCTTCTCTGAGACATTTGACCTTCAACAAAAGAAATGAATGAATAACCATGACTTTAGTGAACGGAGATGGGTCCCCCATATCGGCCGGGACTGGTTGTTTGGACCCTCGGACTCAAGGCCTGCAATTTCAGCCAATCAAGAAGTGCAATTTCCCCTTCTCGGCTGGGCGCCTCATCCCTGTGCTTGAGCTGTCACAGTGTCCTCAGCTGCAGCCCATACCTTAATAATTCAGTCACAGCTGCTACCTACCTAAGGTTTACCTACCTACCTTAACCTGTCCGCTGGATCCCTAATTCGCACCTTGAGGCAGTCAAGTCACTTTACCCATTTAGGACCTCCAAAGGACCCCCAAAGAACCTTGAGAGACTGTCGCTTTCTGTCATCGTTTACTGCGTTCTTCCTTCACATCTTTACTGGCTTGCGTTTCTCACTCTTTTGCGCAACATGGTTGAATGACACGCCGTCTATTCGAGCTATGATATCGCCTCCTTCTGCCCGTTGACATTGTAACGAGCCGCCCGGCGACACCCCTAGTCTCCCTCATCGATCCTCTCAGCGACCTTGATGGATGCGCGCTGACCATGTCTTTTCGATATGGCCCGCGTTTTCTGGCCATCTACCTTACGCTTGCCAACGTCTTGATACCTTTAGCCATTGTTGTTTTTGCGACTGGCTTCTTCCCGTACAAACCTGTCCTTCCAGGTCTGGCCGAGTACGAGAACCTTGAATATGGCCCGCCTCCAGCAGCGCCATTTGATCGACTAATCTTCATGATTGTCGATGCTCTAAGAAGGTAGAGTTAGCTTTGAATCCCATATTTGGCTGGACTGGGCTGATCGGTTGAGATAGTGACTTTGTATACGCCGAAGGCACCGGCTTTACATACACTCAAGAGTACGCACTTCTTATACCACCGGGGACTCTGCTGGCTGACGACGTACTAGGTTGATCCGCGATGGCGCTGCCCTTCCATTTACTGCCAACGCTCGGTCACCAACTGTCACAATGCCCAGAATCAAGGCTATCACCACCGGCTCCATTCCGTCCTTCTTGGACGTGATTCTGAATCTCGATGAGGGAGATACGTCCTCCACTCTTGCCGCTCAGGACACCTGGTTAGCCCAGATGAAGGCCAAGCAGTCGGGCAAATTAGTCATGTATGGCGATGACACTTGGCTGAAGCTCTTTCCGGGGACTTTCGACCGCGCCGACGGCACGACAAGTTTCTTTGTTTCGGTGAGTGGCGAGCTCTCTCAGAGCAACCCACGTAACTCATGAAGCTGACCATCCCCAGGACTTCACGGAAGTGGACAACAACGTGACTAGGCATGTCGATGCTGAGCTGAAGAACGATGACTGGAATACACTGATTTTACATTACCTCGGCTTGGATCACATTGGTCATAAATCTGGACCGCGGAGGTGAGATAATTACTGAGGCCTTGAATGAAACTGTTGGTGCTAACCTTTCGTAAAGCTCTCATATGGTACCCAAACAGCATGAGATGGACGACATCGTCAAGCGTGTGTATCAGGCCATGGAGACGCGAGACCAATTGTCCTCAACTCTCATGGTGCTTTGCGGAGACCACGGCATGAACGATGCTGGCAATCATGGCGCATCCTCTCCAGGCGAAACATCACCCGCCTTAGTCTTCATATCACCAAAGCTCAAGGCCTTGCAGAGATATCAAGTATCCCCTCTCGAGTACAAAGAGGACTTCCTATATCATACCAAGGTTGAGCAGTCGGATCTAGCACCGACTCTGGGCGCATTACTAGGCTTCCCAGTACCACAGAACAACCTTGGCGCCTTTATCGCTGACTTCTTGCCGTTCTGGTCCAAGAGTTTGTCCTTGCGACCCTCATACTCCCGCCCACAAGCGCTAACATTGCACAGAGAATGATCAAATTCAACTACTTGTACGCAACGCTCGACAGATCTTGAAAATCGTCACGGCCACATTCGGCACGAGCACATTTGACACCGCATCATCCTCCACGCAAACAATTTGCGCAAACCCACAAGATGAAGCGCAAGAGCTCGCTTGTGAATGGCACAAAGTGAATGACGGACTCAAAGCCATGGAGGACAAGGAGGAGATCGACCAGGCATGGCTCGAGGCCATGTCCAAAGTCAGTCACAGGCTCTCTCACCGGTATAAGCTTTGACTAATAAACCACAGTGGTTGAGTCGAGCTCAGGATCTCATGAGCACCATGGCTAGCAATTATGATATGACAAGACTGCACCTCGGCGAAGCCGTGACTGCTCTCGTCACTTGTCCACTACTCTTTGGCGCGCGGCCAAGCCTCATTCCCTTGCTCATCATTACAATAGCGTACGGCATCATGATGTTTGCCAGCAGTTACGTTGAAGAAGAGCAGCACTTCTGGTACTGGTCAACGTCGGCCTGGTTTGGCTCACTTGCTATCAAGAAACTACGAACGTGAGTGCCCTGCGACATCTCTGCCAAAAACGCCCTAACTTTGAATAGCACTCGAGCACATTTGCAAACAGTTGGTCTATTTTTGTTTGCTCTAATAGCGACCAGACTTGTTCGGGGGTGGAATCAAACGGGGCAGAAGCATGCCGGCGAGCCAGATATCGTCAAGACTTTTATCGCATCCAACCCCCCTCTCCTCTGGACACTGGTGAGCGCGACCTACGGCTACCTTTTTGTCCAAATAGCCCGGAGGCTCCGCGGCCTGCCCCTCGTAGCATCTTTGGTCTTGTCTGGCACGGTGGTGCTAGCCGCTTACACGTTCAAGTTGGCCTTCACTCTTGAAGACTCGCCGGAGCTCGTCGTTGGCACGTCAGCCGTCATCAACACTGCGTTCCGGGGCATATCCTTGGTAGCCAGGGCCAGGATCGTCTTCGCTGGTCTAGGAGTACTTGCGGGCTTTTCATCATACCTTGCTCTCGCCAAACCAAACGAAGCATCCCAGGCCGCCCAGCTCCTGCATCATCTCATAACCCTTTTCGCAGCAACCCAATCCCGCGTAACAAACATTCCCCTTCTCCTCCTCTTCAACTTCCAACTCCTCTTCCTCTCCTCTCTCGACGTCGACCTCCCCACCATATCTGCGTCATCTCTCTTGCTACAGTATACCTCCTTCTTTGCCTTCGGCGGTACGAACGCAATCTCATCCGTCGACCTCTCGAGCGCCTATAACGGCGTGGCCGGCTTCAGCGTTGGCGCCGTTGGCGTCCTCACCTTCGTCAGCAACTGGGCGGGGCCAATCTACTGGACATCCGCCACGAACTTATTGCTCCTCAGATACCGCAAAGTCCATGATGGGCGGAACGTGTTTTTGAGACACATCAGCCACTTGACGCTCTTCACTACATGTAGCATGCTGTTGGTCATGGTTGCTTGCCAGGTTCTCAGAACTCATCTTTTTGTATGGACCGTTTTCTCGCCCAAGTATCTGTACAGCATGGCGTGGAGTATCGGACAGCACTTGGGCATGAACATCGTGGTGGCTGGCTTGCTGTACAAATTGGGGTCGTCATAGTCATACAAAACAATAAGATCAGGACGGGTTGCCGCATAAACGAAAGACCTAATAGTAGTCGAATCCGCGGTGGGGTCATCATTACTGGTATATAGATCATGAATCCTTGTACAAATCATTCCATGAGGCTCTTTCCTCCCGGATCTCAGGAGCGTATCATTAGCCAAGTTACACCAAGTTCCCCCCAGCTCAAGCACCATCCTCGTCTGATAACAGCTCGCTCACCAGCGAATTTCCTTCTGATCGCTGGATCACGGTGCCCTCATTGCTGTCCTCGTCCTCTTCTTTGATGGTAGGTTCCCGATCCATAGTGATCGTCTTATCCTCCTCGCCGTCATCGTTTTTGGACGACGCAGTGGCTGCAGATACCGCAGATGTCGCAGACGGTGCCATCGACGCAACGGACACACTCCTGCTGGCACGCCGGGGCTCGGTCTCCTGCTCTCCGAGGTTGGCGACGATCTTGCCCAAGCTGACGTGGATCTTGTTGAGGGCATTGCGTCCAGTTGTGTCTGTAACGAGCCTGTCGTCCACGGCGATGGAAACCTCTTCGTACACCTCCCTGATTTTCTCCTCGGTGCTGGCAGGGGAAATGTAGAGCTTCCCGAGAAGTGGCGCCACAACCTTCTTTTCTCCCTCTGCAAACAAGTTAGCATTTCAGACCACTAGAGAGGAGCCTTTGTTGGACGGCTTACTGCTCATATTTCCATTCAAACGGTCCAGGATATCCAGAGCGAACTCCAAGTGAATATCGCCATTGACAGTCTTCTTCTCCAATTCAAGACCTTGGGCTGGGTTGTAGCACTTGCGAGGATCTGTCCAGTCCACCAGGCAAGCGCCGATCGTCGTGAGGCTCTCCATCTCCTCGTCAACGTCGGCATCATCATCCTCCAAGCTCTCACGGACGTTCACGAGAAGATGCAGTGCATCAAGAGCAACACTGCGCATAAGATCCTGGTTCTCTGCCCGAGAGTAGCAGAAAACAGGCAGGAAGTAGTTCAGTGCTTGCCTCACACTCTGGTTGTGAGCAGTAGCAGGATCGAAGTACTGGACGACGAGGGTCTTCAACATCTCCGCTGCGGCCTCCGTGTCTGTAACGACGCGTCCAAGCAGCAACTTTGACACGGCCAGAGTAGCGGCAGCCTGTACCTCGGGTGACTTTGATCCAGACTTTAGCGCCTTGATGTACACCTTCAGCAGTGTCGGCGTTGTGCTGAGGAGCTCCGCTCCGTGAACATTGAGAATGTCGGTGAGAATCTGCAGGGCAGTGATCTGGAGCGCAGTGTGACCCTTAGTGAAAAAGTGCATGAAGAGCGTCAAATTCTCTTCGGCCAGAGATCTGTCGAGCAGGGAGCAGAGACCTAAGCACACGAGGCCTCTCTCACGAACGGGAGCCTCGTGACTCCTGACTGCAGGAACAACGAGGTTGTTCAGCATGGAGACGAGGTGGTCGTTTTGTTGCAAGTTGCCGGCGACGTTGGACAACATGCACTGGACGATGTGCAAACACTTCATGTTGATCATGATCTCCTTGACAGCCTTTGCTCGAGCCTCCTCTTCGCTAAGCTCAGGACTCTTGTCGCGACTTCCGCTCCTGGTTGGCGTGGTATCACCACTGACTTCAGACCTGGCAGAATGAAAACTGTCTTCAGTCTTATCATCAGGTGGATCGTCGACGATGGTGTCGTGAACATCGGCAACAGACTCCAGAACTACCGAGCAAAATTCCTTTTCGCCGGCATTGTCAGGGGCGCAGATGTCTCTCAGAACACTGACGGTGAGTTTCGTAACTTCGTCCGGGAGCTCAGGCACGGAGAGGGACTGACGAAGCAGTGCGAACATTTTGCGTCGACCAACTTCGTCGGAGTAGTCGAGGGTAATTGCGATGTGGAGAAGTTGCTCAACGATGAACTCTTGTTCAACGGTGTCTTCCTCCTCGTCATCGTCGCCCTCTGGTTGCGACGCCTTCTTGATAGCGTCCACCAACACTCCAATATATCGTTCGAGATAGAATGCAAGCTTAGTGACCTCTGGAAGCTTCTCCTCGACCAGGTACTCGAACTTGCCGTTGCCTTCATTTCTGCAGAAGTCGTTGAAGCTGCGTGCCATAAAGACGGACTCGGCGGAAAGAGTTTCCCAGAACTGGTCGTCAAAGGTAACGGCCTCCCGGTAGTCAGGCCTGCCCTCCCAGAAACCCTTCATCGCCTCCAGAGCAACACCGTTCTCGACGCCCGAGTTTACAACGTCGATTCTCTCCAGCAATTCAAGAAGGCCATCGAAGTTGGGAGGTGAAGGCTCGGGCTGCGCTCCGTCTTCGGGGGGCGCAACGCCGGCACAGTCTTCGATCCAGCGCTCTCGGAAAAGCCTGCCCGCGGACTTGCGAACGTTTTCATCTCTGTCACGGAGACCCCATCTGAGAAGCTTCTCTCTCATGGAAAGCGACAGGTGACGGAAGTCACCAAGAGCGGGCAGCAGTCGCGAATACACCGCTCTGCGGGTCAGAGCATCCTGATCTCTGGCACGCTCCAGCAGATAGGGGAGGGTAGCAGGAGCAATCGGAAGGTTGACCAGAAGCGACCTTCTCACATCTGCACTGGGATCATTCTGGAGAACCTCCAGCAGCTTTTCAAGCAATCCCGTGGCCTCGTCCTCCTCGCTGTCGTCATCGGAGTGGGCGGCCGCGTCGAGGTTGTTAGCCAACCGGCCGAGTCCGAGTACAGCCTGGGCGCGAACCATGGCCTCCTTGTCACGGATCCGCCTAAGAAGGCCGTGGCGAAGCTTTTGGAAGAGGTCGTCGTCGATGGCATCGAGAGAGTTGATGATGTGGGAGACCAACTGGGTGGATCTGTATCTCACAAACTTGTCCTTTGCCGTAAGCAGTGGCAAGATGGTTTCCATGAGAAAGCTGGTGAGTCTTGTGCTGGGGGTCTCGGGCATGACACTAGCATCCTCGTCGACCTCGCCGAGAATCTCATTGTCTTTGTCGTTCGTATGTCGCAAGAAATGCCCGACGAATCGGATGGTCTTCTCTCCAACGCTTTCCGATTTCTTGATAGGCATAACCCTGAGAACGCATCGGACGAACTCCGAGTTGAAGGCTTCCTCGTCAAAATCGTTCGAAGTCGACTTCTTCAGGCTGGTTGGCTCGTAGACGCAGGCCTCCTGAATCTTGCGCAAGGTGACAACCAGTTTGCGGTGTGATGCTGTGTTTTTCTGCGCATCGCGGAAGACGGCGCACACCTTGCCGCGAAGCTCGTTATCGGGTCTTTCGGTCGGTACATCGATCGCAAGCGAAGAGGAGCGCGACGCTGTGGAAGCTCGGGAACCAAGCGTCGCGGCGGATGATTTGTTTGAGACGGCGGCCGAGTTCCGCGTGGATCTTGTAGAGACTCGCGCTGGCATCTTGAAGTGCTGAAAACTGTCAGATGCGGTCGGGGAATATCATGAGTCAGAATAGCTGCAAAGGTTAATGAAGAAGAAAAAAAATATGTGTTGTTGAGTGACGGTGTGTGTGTGTGTGTGTGTGTGTGTGTGTGTGCCGCCCCTCGTCCGCGAAATGGCTGTCAACACATGCAGGCAATGACAGTGGGCGACCCCTAGTCGCGCGTCGTGCTTTTTGTTTTGGCTTGTGTAGCATAATTAGTAAATAGCAACGGCGTCCGTATGGGGTTTAGCGCGGGGCCACCCCCGCCTGCTGCCATGTTCTTGTCAGAACGCACGTGCTGATAAGCTTGGATGGAAAAAAAAGCTTATCGTAAATTTTCAGGCGTCCTCGCTCTCGTGGAGTGCGCTTCTCGTCGCTACCAACTACTTCTCCTGGTTGTGGTGGTCGTTATCTTCTTTCACTTATTCGCGGCGACCTTGTACACTGGAAAGATGTCGTCTTCCACTAAGCCATTGAAGCGGTCTCGCGCCGAGGAAGACGAGCACGATGCACTTGTCGCCGCCGCCGTCGCAGAAAACCTTGCAGCCGATGCTGCGGCAGCTGATGTTGCGTCGGAACCAAAGCCCAAGAAAGCTCGTGTCGAGGCTAATCGCTCTCTTTTCGTCCGCTCTCTTCCCCCGAACGCCACCAGCGAATCACTCACCGATTTCTTTTCGGAGCATTTCCCTATCAAGCATGCTACCGTCGTCCTCGACCCGAATACCAAGACCTCTCGAGGCTATGGCTTTGTCACCTTAACGGACGCCGACGATGCCACGGAAGCCAAGAACAAACTCAACAACATTCTGTGGGAGGGCCGTCGCATCAGGATCGATCTTGCTGAAGCCAGGCATCGTGACAAGAAGGATAGCGCCGTCGGGGCAGCTGCTTCAAACGAGAAGCAAAAGCGGACGCAGGCGCTTGAGGAGGCCAGAAAACCGCCCAAGCTGATTGTGCGCAATTTGCCCTGGACCATCAAGAACTCTGACCAGTTGTCTGCCCTTTTCCGCGCCTATGGACTGGTCAAGTATGCCGACCTTCCCCAGAACAAGGGCAAGCTTAAGGGCTTTGGTTTCGTCACTCTCAGAGGACGCAAGAATGCCGAAACTGCTCTGAAGTCGCTCAACGGCAAGGTTATCGATGGAAGACCGATTGCTGTTGATTGGGCCGTTGACAAGACCGAGTGGGAGAAGCAGAACCAGGAAGAAGGAAACACCGAGGAGGAAGATAAGCCCAAAAACAAGAAGAAGGCCGAGACTATTGCGAAGAAGGAGGAGCCAGCCAAGGATGCCAAGGCCCAGGAAGACCCCAACGATGCGGACGTTGATTTGGAAAACTTCCTTAAAAACTATGGCGCGAATCTCGAGGATGAAGAGGACAGCAACGACGAGAAAGACAAGAACGAGGACGAGGACGAGGACGAAGACGAGGATGAGGACGAGGCAGACGACTTGTCCGAAGACGACGAGGATCTCAGCGACGCAGAGGACGCAGAAGAGAGAGACTCCGCTCCCAAGAAGCAGACATCATCCGACAATCAATCGACAATCTTCATCAGGAACCTCCCCTTTACCGTTACCGACGAAACCCTGAAGCAGCACTTCGTTCAGTTCGGCCCTGTCAGGTATGCTCGTGTTGTCATGGACCGTGCGACCGACCGCCCTGCGGGAACTGGATTTGTTTGCTTCGTCAATGTGGAGGATGCCAAAGCTTGCATCAAGGGCGCGCCGCGCGCACAAGCCAGTGCTCTTCCAACCAAGCACTCGGTGCTGCAGGATGAGACGGCCGATCAAGATGGTCGATACACCCTCGACAGTAGACTGTTGTCGGTTGCTCAAGCGGTCAGCAAGGACGATGCCGAGCGTCTGGCTGCCGACGGCAGCGCCAAGAGACGCGAGAAGGACAAGCGTCGTCTATTCCTGCTCAACGAAGGCCAGATCGATACGCGAACCAGCTTGTACCAGAAACTCACACCTTCCGAGATCAAGATGAGAGAGCAGAGCGCCAATCAGCGCAAGAAGCTTGTTCAGACCAACCCTACGTTGCACATCAGTCTTACCCGTTTGGCTGTCCGCAACATCCCCCGCGACATGGGCTCCAAGGAACTCAAGGAGCTGGCACGTAAGGCCTGCGTGGAGTTCGCCACTGATGTTAAGGAGGGCAGGCGCCAGCCCCTGTCCAAGGAGGAGAAGGTCAGAAGTGCAAAGGAGGCGAAGGACGCCGAGCACGAGCGTAAGCTCAAACGCAAGGGTATTGTCCGTCAAGCTAAGATCGAGTTTGAGAGCCGTGAAGGATCCAAGGTCAACGAGGCAGCCGGCGGCAAGAGTCGTGGGTATGGCTTCATCGAGTACTCATCCCACCGTTGGGCCCTCATGGGCTTGCGTGTTCTCAACGGCTACCAAGTGAAGAACGAGCACGGCAAGAAGCAGCGCCTGATTGTCGAGTTCGCTATTGAGAACGCTTCAGTCATCGCCAGACGCAAGGCTGCCGAGAAGAACCTGGACCGCAATAAGAAAAGCCAAGATGGCAAGGAGGGTGACAAGTCTGAGAAGGCCGATGGTAAGGACCAGGAGTTGCCAAAAATGGCCGACTTGAAGAAGAAGGGCAAAAAGGGAAAGAAGGGCAACATGAACAAGGGACCCAAAGAGGACAAGAAGGAGGGGAAGGAGGAAGGCGCCGGTAAATCCGCCGGCGTTGATCGCGAAGATGTCAAGCCTATGTTGATCGCGAGGAAGCGCCTGATGCGGAAGAAGAAGTCTCAGGCAAGGGGTTAGGCGGGAGTATGGACCGCCTCTCGGCAGAAGATACCAATGGTCTGGGATGAGAAGGGAAAAGTTGTGTGATATTATAATGTGTCTTGAACAGGAATCCTCCAGCATAGTTCTCGTGCATCGTTGAGGCGTCTTAAAAGCTTCCAAATTTTATGTGTTCATCTTCCATATCCATGTCTGAAATTCACTGGGATCTACAAGTCGTGATAGTAGACATAACGACAATAATGAAGACAGCAATGACGGTGGACGACACAGACGATCACATCAGTCAGCAAGAATATCCCCGTTACTATAGGAGAGTTACTTGTCCAACCAAGACCCAGTGAATCAATGCATGACACCAGAGATAGATCAGGACAACATCATCTTTGCTTGGGACATCAAGACTGACGCAAGCGATCAGCTCGTAATCTCGTGGCGTGCCATGGCTCAAATGCATTGTAACGCACCTGTCGAATGCAACAATATGTGAGGTTTACTGATGCCACTGTGTCTCGATGGAGCTCGTCCGACCCAAAAAGACGCAGCCCACGGAACGGCAGTTCTCGAGGGACTCAACTCGGGAACATTTGTCTACATTTGACTACATGCCAGGAGATATGATGCGTCATTTCAGCCAAGATGCACCGAGTCACAACACTTTGGTGTATCGGAAGGTAACCAGAGAGCATCAAGAACAGAACGCGGAATTTAGCCGGCATTCGCTAGGTAGCCGAGGTGGCAATAAATCAGACGATCCTTGGATCATGTTTCCATGCGTGCTCTGGCGACTGATGCTTCTTCATATTCGTAAATCAATGTCTTATTCGAGTGATCTGAGTCAGACGTACATCGCGGAGCATAAGAAGATGTCTTCACCCATCAATCATAGGAGCATAAGAACTCTCTACATTTCCCAAAAGTTGCTGAATAAATCCAACCCATGTAAATATTCTCCTTGCACTAAATCTGGCATGCCTGAAAATCTCTTAGGCCTTCTTGATGAGGCTCTCGAAGAGGGGCTGGAGGCTCTTGGCGCTCTTCTTGGGATATCTCTTCTGGTCATTCTCGTAGTCGACATATGTGACACCGAAACGGGTCTCGTAGCCCTCAGCCCATTCGAAGTTGTCCATGAGGGACCAGGCCATGTAACCCTTGACGTTGACGCCATCCTTCTCGTAAGCGTCGGCCATGGCCTTGACGTAGCCATCAAAGTACTTGACGCGGAAGTCATCCTCGAGGATCTGCTCAAGGGGCATGTCGTTCTCGCCCTTGAGAGATGTGCCATTCTCTGTAACGTAGATAGGCGGGTATCCGTAGCGCTTAGAGAGCCAGTTTAGGAGGTTGCGGAAGCCCTGGGGGTTGGGGCGCAGCCAGAAAGACTGAGTCTCAGGGCCAATGTTCTCGCCGCTCTTAGACTCGAAGAGGGTCTCGAGGTTGCCGAGGAAGTCGTCGGCGGGAGGCTCGCCGGTCTTGTGCTTGATGTAGTTGGCAGTGTAGTGGTTCATGCCATAGAAGTCATTGGAGCCCTTAACAAGGTCGACTTCCTCAGGAGTGAACTCGGGGAGGCGGTCGCCGAGTTGCTTGCGCATAGAGTCGGGGTACTTGCCGAAGTAAATAGGGTCAGCGAACCAGGAAATGGCGAACTCGATCTTGCGGTCACAGGCCTCAACGTCGGCCGGGTCTTCGGGGTCCCAGGGGTAGGTGGCATCGCCATTGAGGGTGATTCCAATCTGACCGCCCTGAGTAGGCTTGAACTCCTCTCGGTAGACCTTGACAGCACGGGCGTGGGCGAGGATGCAGTTGTGGCCGACGATCCAGGGCTCGCGGGAGGAGTCTCCGACGGGGGACTTGTTGCGGTCTGAAGTGTGACCAGGGGCGAAGAAGCCGCTGCTGTAGCCAAGAATAGAAGAGCACCAGGGCTCGTTGAAAGTGATCCAGTTCTTGCACTTGGGAATGGCCTTGAACATGACGCGAGCGTAGTGCTCGAAGTCGAGAGGGAACTCCTCCTTGTTCAGAAGGCCGCCATAACGCTTGTCGAGTCCATCGGGGAGATCCCAGTGGAAGAGGGTGATGAAAGGAGTGATGCCGGCGTCAAGAAGGTCGTCGACGAACTTGACGTAGTGGTCGATACCGGCCTGGTTGACCGGGTCGCCGCGCCCACCGACGGGAATGATTCTGGACCAAGCAAGGGAGAATCGGTAGGTGTTGGCACCAACAGACTTGAGCAGAGCAATGTCCTCGGCGGTGCGGTTGTAGGAGTCGCAGGCGGTGACACCAGAGCTGCCGTCGGCAATCTTGCCGGGGATTTTGCAGAAAGTATCCCAGATGGAAGGACCACGGCCGTCCTTCTCGACGGCGCCCTCAACCTGGTACCTGTGATGGCGGGCCAATAGCGTCAGCAGGGGTCCAGCATGCCATTCGACAAGGAGGTGAGAGGGGGTGATTGTGAGTGGGGGAGGGGTAACGCAGGCGGGTAAGACGGAGGGAGAGCGGCGAAGTGTGGTGGGAGGATGCTTGCTAGTCATCCGAATCGGGCCACGAACGGAAGATGGCGTAAAAGTGCAGGGTGGTACGGGCTAGGGCTCAAGTATGGTTCCCAAGCGTAGAGGAGGGGATCGCGAAATGGAAAACGTACGAAGCGGTGGCAAAGCCCCAGAGGAAGTCGCTCGGCAAAGACATGTTGGAGAGATATGTGAAAGACCTGGCACTTGTTGGTTTTGAAAGTCTCGATATCGGTATGGATCGGGTCCAAACTGACGAGCGAGTTTCGGTTGAGAGAGGTCTGTTTCTTGAGGTGAGATTCGTCTCCTCCTGACAGAACCGGCCACTTTCTCGCAGTGGGTAGAACAAGAGGGACGAAGGGGTCGAAACAATTCTGATGTGATGGCGACAAGGAGGGAAGAGAGAGTAAGAAGGGAATTCGAGCAGACAGAGGGCTAGGAGTTGACACGATACTTATACGCAGCAAAACGATGGAAGGACGGCGAGCGGTGCAAGGGAATCAATCTTGTTGTCATTATTCGTCTGATGAGGGAATACCTGGTAGAATTAAGGTAAGGCCATGTCGAGGTACCTTACAAGGATCAGAATGTATGGACTACAGTATGGCAGGAGATGGGACAAACACCTGCAGCAGAGCAGTCAATCTGGGACCCAGGAAGCTCCAGAAATTCTCCCGTGTCGGACCGTCGACACCGAGAAGCTGAGACTGGACATGGACAACCCAACGCGCGGAGGAAGATGTGGTGGGATGAGATTTGGTGAAGACTGATTCTCCAGCGCTAATGCAAGTGGACAATTGATTGGCGCTGGTGGTGTTAGTCTCGAGGCATACGGGCATCTGCTACTATGTACATGCTCATGGATACCTAGGTAGGTAAGGTACCTTAGGTAATTAATTACCTACTTATTTGGAGTAACAACTTCAGCCTATTGCTTCTCGGTACATAAGTCTCAATCATACCAACTTGAATGAAAACCAGACACGATACTTGAAAAACTCGACTTACCTTGCGTACCTATCTTAAGGTGCCTTAGATAGGTAGCTGTCCGGTATTCGTAATTACTTATCTACTACCTCGCAGTTCAGAGTACCTAGATACAGCATACCACCTCAGCACAGGCTCATGCAGCTTCGCCTACGGTAGATAGCCAGGGGCGTTTCCCATTACCCCGCCGTGGGGTCCCTTCTCCTTCTTTCCCCAAGGTAATTACCACCTAAGGTACCTTTAGTTGACGGGGAACACATAGCGAAAACACCACACGACGGCCCGTCTTGCCGAAAAACAAAACCACGTCTTTTCGCTCACCCAACGACAAGACCCGATCCGAAACGCAAGAATCTGCGATCCCTCACCTGATTATCCCGTCTGCCGCCTCATTGGATGCCGCTCTCTATCCGGAACAAGCGCCAACGCTAGAACTATGCAACCACGCGCGGGCGGCAGCAGCATGCGAGCGCGGGAAGTTCGCCAAATCCTCGGGAGAAGAGGCAATACAGCACAGCAGGCCAGCTCTTTGTCAATCGCTTGCTTCTCTGATTGTCTCTTGATTGCCTCGTCCAAGCCCGGTTGAAGGCAGATCTGGTCCAACCACTACATACATACATATCTATGTTTGCCTGGGACGAGCAGCGTCACGGGGAATTCTGCCGAGGTCCGTCTTCCTTCTGTACCAAAGGCCAGGTAACCAGGGCACACCATCAAACCATCAACACCACCCACCGTCAGATGCATGCCGAATCCCGCCAGCTGGCCCCTGTCGTTTCCCTCAACTTCGGTGAGCGGGCAACAGACGTCGGGCGGGAGAGCCTCCCTTCCATCCAGCCCCGGCTCGTCCAATGTTCGACACCGTTCTCCAACATCGGCTTTCATCCCATCATCTCCGCACCGATCGCGCATGTCTACTGCGTACCTCTTCCCGGGCTTCAATAACGGACCTAGAATATAGATGCGACTTGTCCCGAGGACACCTGGCATCAGTTCTGTTGACAGTCTTTTCCCGCATTCATTGCATCATTCTCCACGCGGGCTACAACATGAAAACTTAGTTCAGACTGAGCTTCATCCTTTCAATTCCGCCCCTCCAAAACACCAACTTCAATTTTGGACAATATCGATTCGTACGAAGCGCGAATTCGCCAGAATCACATGGTCAATATCCTACGTACCCAGTCGCGAAGGCGTAATCGCCTCGCCAGAAAACTCCTATCCTTCGGTCGAACAACCCGCCTCAGCCGGCTGGCGGGTCCGTCCTGTCGAGCCAACGACCCTTCGGCCCTACACTCAGGTACACGCCTGTCATCTTGCACCCTGCAGAGCGGGATATCATCGGGATTTTCGAAACACCTTGTCATTCTGTCCTATGCTCATTACATCTTCCCTCGCGAAGCACTCCAACTCGACGCACATCCGCCTGTCCGTTTTGGCTCTCCTGTCCCTTGTTCTTCTCAATATCTTTGCCAGATGGTTTTGAGTTCCTCGTCGCCACGTTGTTGGCTCATCTCCCGTCGATTACTGAAGCGTCTCCTCTCCCACGCCGTCCCAGTTGAGCGACATCTCAACCTACCATCCTCAACTCTCACCGAGGTGTATGGAACTCGGGACGAAGGTGAGTCGGCCCAATCCAAAACACCCCGGCACCATTACCACCTACCCTGCCGCCGTGATGCACGACATGGCATGGGCTCACTGCATGCCCTCCACAGCCGCATCTGCATCGTCTCGTTCTCCTAGCTTGCGCTTCCCGTTCCCGAGGTTGCCTGTCGTCATGTCTACATCTTCTGTCTCTGAGGCCAGATCGTTTCCATCATCGGCGTCGGTCCATTCCACAATTTCCCATTCGACCCTGATGTTTCCCCCGTCCCTACTACTGTGGTCTACGACTTGGTTGCGACGCAGGTTGCCCAAACGGGAGCCCTCGATCATGTTGTCAAACCATGGAACGCCGCGGGTTTCCCGTCCAACTACAGTGACAGTTGTCGGGACAGCGGGCTGTTGTTCCGTCTCTTCCTGCTCGGGGATCAGGCCTAGGTCCTCTAGATCTCGCAGGTCTTGGCCGCACAAGCTGGCCAAGGTAAGATGGATATAGTCGGCTTCGGTGTGTGGGAGCTCAGTCCAGTACGACAACGGCGTGCCGCAGAAGCCACAGAAGTATCGCTTCGAAGGGTGGCTCGACGACGATTCGAATACGCGGCGGATGGCGGAATATCTCTCGTCGGGAAACAAGGGGTGGGTTGAGCTGCGATGCCACGACAGCGGGACGCGGATCATAGCAGCCAGCGGGGTAGCTAGAGGAACTCCTTCAGGGCCGATGATTAGCTTGGAAGCTTCCGCCTGATGAACAGGGCTTCTCATGCAAGGGGACCCGTTTCGAGAAGCAAACGAAAGGAGATTTACGAGACGAACCGACTTACTGTGTCTTGAGTCTGTGTAGAAGAGAACCTGGGCTCTTTCGGTCGTCTGTTGAGGGATGTCGATGATCCAAGTATTGCGACCACACGAACACCCGCCGCGCAAGGGTCGTTGCAAGCTGCCCATGCTCATGTCCGTCGGTCGAATTCCCTGGTTTCAAGGTAAGGGAGGTAGGTATCGAATCTTTGATAGAGTATTCGAAAAGGCTGTGTAGCGTCAGGTTGAGCGTTTCTTAACATCAACGAGGCCAGGGAATCGGCCAGATTTCTATCGGACGATGGTTTAAACATGTGTGTTTGTTGATCTTTCCGTACCTAAGGTACCTCAGCAGAACAGGAGACGTCGGAGTCGGTCGAAGCTTCCAGGTGAACCTGGCAAGCACTCCGTCCCACCTCACAGGCTCCCAGGCGCCCCCAGAAGCTGCGGATCTCCCGCCGTTGATTGCTGGAAGTGCAGGGCAGGTGGCCTGCGTTGCGTGCCCGCAGCGCGTTGGAGCCCCGCAGAGCATGGACTTCGTGTGGGGCACTTTCGTCATGCTTTGTCCAGTGTTGCCAGGCCCCGACTGCTCCAGCTCCAACAAGTTGTTTGTTTGTCATGCGAAGTGAAGCTTTTTGTTATGGAAGTCTTGCTGCCGACACAAACTTTATGTGTGATACCTACCTTCCTTCCTAAGCCGTATGAAAAAACTGCCTGGCTTACAGACATATCAAGCGATACAATTCCGTCCCATCAGCTAACGTTGGCGGGAAATAGAGCTCCTTTCGCCCCCATGTCCAGCCCATCGAGAAGCTCCATCTCCTCTTGATCAAGGTTGAACCCAAACACATTGGCGTTTTCCACGATTCTCGCCGGGGCGCTACTCTTGGGTAATGGCACGAACCCCTTTTGAAAAGACCACCTTACCAGTACCTGGGCCGGAGTCACCGTCTCTGGCTTCGTATCTACATCTTTTCCCGCTTCCATCCCGTCGGCCCCGGCCCCGGCCCCGGCCCCGGCCCCGGACCCCGTCCCGGACAAAAGCCGCCGCCGTGCCTTCTGAACGACCCGCATCAACACCGGATCCGACATCTTCTTCGCCCTAGCCAACGGACTGTACGCCTGCACAATTATCCCATGGGACTGGCAGTACGTCGCAAGTTCTCGTTGCTGACACCATGGATGAATCTACACACGTCAGCACCCCCGGGCTTTTTCAACAAGCCACGGCCGAAGACTTACCTCGATCTGGTTGACAGCCGGCGGCCACACCCTCGCATACCCCTTCATCTCCTCGATATGCTCGATCCGGAAGTTGCTCACCCCAATATACCTCGTTCTGCCCTCCGCAAGCAACCTTTCCAGCGCCAGCCAGACCTCCCTCCGTCTCTCGATGGGTCGGTGTACGAGAAAGAGGTCGACGTAACCATTTTCGCCAGTGATCCGCTTAACGCTACGCAGGGCGCTCCGATATGTCGCTTCTTCCGAGTCGCCGTGGCGACCTATTTTTGTCGTTACAAAGATGTCTTCGCGACAGGTATTGGTTTGCTGCAGATACTGATGCAGGGCCCTGCCTACGTCCTCCTCGTTGCCATACAATTGCGCTGAGTCAAGATGTCGATACCCGCTCTCCAGAGCCGCGAGACAAGCTCTCGCGCATTCTTCTCCCCTGAGCTGGTACACGCCAAAGCCCAGCTTGGGCATCCTCGCGGAGGTTCCGGGTCTGAGCGTCGTCTCGTTCATTGTTGGGCTTCGCCTAAGAACGGGTTTTGTGGGTTCCAGGTTGTTGTTGTTGCTTTTGCAGATTGCATTTGCAGGTGGCTGCCTAGACCAGTGAGTTGACTCATTAACACCCACCCCACCTCATTCAGGTAAGGACATTAGCTAGAATAGCCACGTCTACGACCAGGACTAAAAATGCGATAGACAAGCTAGTTCAGGTAAAGCCCCTGTCTGGACAGAAGAATCTCAAAGATTTCTTTCCAAGGATTAATCCCATTTGAGTCCATGTTCGCCAGTTGGCCAGCATTAAATAGGTATTTGTAGTTTTACACTTCCCTTCCTTCCAAGATGATAAAAACGCCCAGCGACTGGCCCAAGTTCCAAAACGCAATGAATCAGACAGAAGACGATTTAGCCCGTCTTCTTCTTCTTCTTGGGAGGCTTGTCTTCCTCTTCGTCTTCATCGTCGTCGTCATCACCGTCGTCATCGACATCGCTCTCTGCGCTGCCAGAGCCTGAACTGTCGTGTTCGCTGTCGAATTCCTCGGCAACGTCACTCTCACTCTCCGCCCGGAAGTCCTCATCGACGCTCTCTTCGTCCTCGTCCGCTGAGCCACGGTCCGCCTTGGGACCAACCACCTCGTCTTCGGAGTCGTCCATGGCGGCTGCATCGCGGATAGCGTTGGCAAGGAGCTTGGCGTCTTCGTCGATCTCGTTCTTTACACGCAGGCCCTTCAGTCTGAAAAATTCCTCGAGCCCCTTAAGATCCTCTCGGTTAATATTGCTGAACTGGGACGAGCCGGCACCGTTCTTCATCTGCACCGTGATATCAAACGTGGACAGTGCAGAAACCGCTCCGCCGACACGAGAGAAGGTGATGGATGCCGTCTGTTCGTACGCAATGTATGTCGCGGGTTTCGGCACAAACATGAAGGCCTTTTCCAGGCAGTAAAGGAATCCTTCGCTGGCCTTGATCGAGCACTTGATGCCAAACTGCTGGCGGTGGCTGCTTCGGAGTTAGCTTATTTGGTGTCAAGAATGAGGGGTTTGTGACGCACGTCTGGAAGTCCTTGGCAGGAGTCGTGACCTTCTTGTTGGCAAGGCCTCGGAAAATGTAGGTAATAACCTGATGAAGGGGCTGCTCGTAGTGGGGCTGTAGCCTGTCGCCGTATCTCTCCTGAATTTGCTCTTCGGTGAGGTTCAGGTCGATCGTAACCTCCTCGTCCTTCTTGAACTGCATGACAATGAAGGGGTATCTTGTCTGGCCCTGACGGAGAGGTGGGTCCAGGCCAATAACCAGGAGCACATGTGTCTCGTCGGGCTTAGGAAGAACCATGAACTTCTTGATGGCGTCGTACTGGATCTTGTAGTCGTAGGTTTTACCGCGGAGACGGAATGAAGCATCGTACATGTCGATGTCGAAACGTCCTCTTTAACATCATGTCAGCGATGACGTCTTGCAGCATGTAAATCATGTAGACGTACCTGGGTGTAAGGTGCAGAATGTCCAAGAAGGTGGCGATAGTATCGCCGGCCGTCTCGCCAATCTCAGCCTTCTCCATCAGGGTATCGTAGAACAAGGTGACAGCGTTCTTCTCTTCCTCGCCAGCATCACTGCCGGCGTCCTCCTCCTTCTTGACAGTCCCGGGAATGTAGAATCTCATCTCCACAAGCTGATCCTTGCCAGCACCCGCCTTCTTCCCCTTGCCACGCGCGCCACCCAGGGCGCCGTTGGTGCCGGTGTCGTTCTTGTCCGTGGGCGCGGAGAACTCGACGGCGACTTCATTGCGGCCAGCCAAGTTGGTATTTGAGATTTCGGAGTAGGGGATCTCGAAGGCGGGACGGTTCTGGACGTGGAATGAAAGCTCGGCCTTTCCGAAGTCGGCCTTGCCCCAGTTCCATCCCCTCAGGGAGTGTTCCTTGTTCTCGAGGACGGTGCTGTACCAGTTCTTGAAGATCTTGGCCAAACGTTCATAATCCTGCGAGAGTAGGAGTTCAGCACGACTTCATGGACCCATCCAAATGCGCGACTTGATTTACCTCTTGTTGGAAGCCATCCAGCTGAATGATGCGTGAGTCGCGGTTCAGGATCTTGATTTCGTAGCCTTTGGAAGCTCTGCTCCATTGCGCCGAGGCGATAGTGCTGTGGTCGAGGGTGAACGTGTCGCCGCCGCCAGCAGGCTTCCATCCGAGACCGCTCTCGGCGAATCTGCACTTGCCACTCTCCTTGGAGAGGTCCAAGTAGATGCTGTCGAAACTCTCACTAGAAGGAGCCATTTTGTTAGCAAGTGGTGCTTGAGACCGTGGAAGAGTCGCGCGCGATGAAAGGCGAGGGATTATGAAATAAGCCTTCGCAAACGGATTCGATCGGTTGGGATAAGACGGGTGGCCGCAGAATTGGCGCGATGAGGAGGGAAGAGCTGGTGATGGGAACTCACATAGCTGCCATGATGGGAAAATCTCTGAGCTAGGTCGCTGTGTATCGTCGAAATACGGTCGCACGAAGGCAACCACCGCTCAAAGCCGAGAATGGGAAAGGGCGACGTCCGGCTCGAGCTGTGGGAAATGTCGAATGGACGGAGGTTGGTGGTGGTGAGTGGTGAGTGATACGGGGTTTTCTCTTGTCGGTGATAAAATTTCGGGCGATTGGACCTTCGCGCGGTCTTCTCCTTGTCGCGCGAGGCTCTCTGGTGGCACGGCGACGCGACCTGTTAAGTGAGTGGGTCTTCGTGGTTATACTCACACCCTGGAGGTGGAATCCAAACTCAGGCCAAGAGCTTCTGTTAGTAAGCACCGGGACCATCTTTCGGGAATAGCGCGGCATCTTGATTACCCCAACTTCTAAAGCTGTCGCGCAGTTGCCAAGTGTGGGGTAAGGCACAGCACTAACCGGCTCTGAGCTTTCAAGTGCCCGAGGTCATTGTCGTCTCAAACAGCTGGAGCTAGGAGCAGCATTGGGTACCTAAGAGAGGCAAGCTAATGTAAGGCCAGCTGGGCCATGTCTTCGGGGAACGGGAAGAGGAACTGGAACACCAGCCAGTTTACCTTAGACTTCTATTTTTCCCACCTTCTCCTCATTGCTAGGACCTTACAGAGCCGTTGCTTTCCGGGCGAACTCATCCTGAGCTGTTAACTCAGATATCAACAAACCTTCTCATTCAATTCAAATCTCGCACAATCTGTCATTCTCCAAGGTCATTGCTGCAAAACGCACCGACGTCATCGCCATAATGTCCAGCCCGCCATCTCGTCTCAAGAACATCCTCGGCCACCTAGGCCTTTCCTCAACACCAGCTCCGAAGAGAGAAGAGCCCTCACCAGCTCACCACATTCACCAGCTTTCTCCAACTTTCTTCCTCGAACGTGCTGCCACCATTGAGCCAGATGCGGAGGCCATCGTCCACACCACCGCAAATAACAAACTCCTACGGCGAACCTATCGTGACTTTGCCGAGCGAGCAACCGGCCTCGCATACTACCTGAAGAAGCATGGGTTCAAGAGAGTTGGTATCCTGGCGCCAAACACCCCAGCTTTCCTCGAAAGCATCTTTGGCATTGCTTTGGCAGGCGGTCAGTCCACCTCTGAATTCATGTGCTACCTGATGGATGACTTACTTGGACTAAATAGGAGTCAATGTCGCCGTCAACTACAGATTGAAGCCTGACGACATTACTTACATATTCGACTTCGCCGAGGTCGACTCAATCATCGTCGACCAAGAGTTCGTTGACCTCCTCGACGAATTCAAGCAGAAGCGCCCAGGCGTTCCATTCATCATCGACACCGACACCGACGCCGTTGAGGGAGAGTTGAGTGGGCCCTTTGACGAAGCCATCCTGGAAGGTCTCCAGTATGACCAAAGTCATGGAAACAAGAAATTCGATGGCCTTCAATCGCATTGCACCAATGACGATGACATGCTAGCCATCCCCTTTACATCAGGGACTACTTCCCGTCCGAAGGTGGGTTATGTCTCTGCAGAGCGAGGTACCATTATCACCACTAACAAGAGTTGGTCTTCTAGGGAGTCGTTTACACCCATCGAGGAGCCTGTGAGCCGCTGCACCGCTCCTAACATGATGTAGCAGCAGGACACTAATTCAAGGCAGACCTTGCGGCCCTGGGCAACGTGATAGAGTCAGGACTCAACTCTCCCGACGGAAGACGCTGCAAATACTTGTGGACATTGCCTTTGTTCCATGCGTGTGGTTGGGTTTGTGACTAGCTGCCCATCAGAATCTCTCGGATGATTTTGCTGACCAAATCCGGAAGACCTTTCCCTGGGCTGTCACTATGGTCCGGGGAACGCACTACACGCTGAGGAAAATCGATTATCCCCTCATTTGGAAGCTGTTGAAGGAAGAAGGAATAAGTCACTTCAACGCCGCCCCGTTCGTTGCCAACATGATATCCTGGCATACTTTATTCGCGTTCTGACCCATGTAGGACCGTCAATACCCTTCTATGCTCCGCCAAAGAGAAAGAAGTATTGCCTCAGCCTTGCCGTGTTACAGTCGCCGCAAGCCCACCAAGCGGCTTCTTATTCGAGCAGATGGTGTGTTTCGTCGCTTTGGATTTCCCCACCAAGCTAAGTACTGATGACGATAGACGAATCTCAACCTTATCCCAGTCCATGTGTATGGAATGACGGAAACCTACGGCCCCATTACTAAGGGCTACCACATGCCGTCGTGGGATAGCCTTCCTCCCAACGAGAAGTATGCCAAAATGGCCCGCCAGGGTCACGGCTTCGTGACGAGTCTCCCGATTCGAGTGATCAAACAAGATCAGCCAGAGGGTGTTCTCATCGACGTGGCGAAGGATGGGAAGGAAATTGGCGAGATCATCTTCAACGGCAACATTTGCTGCAAGGGGTACTACAAAGACCCGGAGGCAACGAGAAAGCTATTCGCGGGAGGAGCTCTTCACTCAGGAGATCTTGCGGTGATGCATCAGGATGGCGCAGCTCAGATTCTGGACCGAGCCAAAGACATCATCATCTCAGGTAATATACTTCCACGTCAGGAGCCGGTCAACCACTCAAACTAAGTTGTTTCCAGGGGGCGAGAACATCTCTTCGGTCGCTCTCGAGGGCATGCTCGTCCAACACCCTGACCTGCTTGAGGCTGCAGTCGTGGCTATTCCTGACAGCCACTGGTAAGTTTACAATTTGCGCTTCTATAAGTACCTGGTCGGTATGCTGACAGGTCTAGGGGCGAACGTCCGAAGGCTTATGTGACCGTCAAGGAAGGCAAGAGCCTACAGCCGGAAGACCTCATCTCGTGGGCCAAGCACCAGAGCAACATCAGCAAGTTTATGGTGCCACGCGAAGTTGAAGTTGTGGAAGATCTCCCCAAGACCAGCACTGGGAAGCTGAAGAAGAATGTCTTGAGGGAATGGGCGAAGCATGGCCGGAAGGAATAAATCAGGGGTCTGGCGACCCGTGGGTAACCGTTGATTTCTTACATTGCAGTCCGCATTTGAAAGGTAGAGAGATTCGGTCGGATGGAGGAAAGAACAAAGAAGAGATGGATAGATGAGAATGAGAATGAGAATAGACGCTTGATTGGCTAAACTTGATTAAGAACCGGAAGAAACTGACTGGTCACTGACCCAGGCTGATATCTGCCGAGATTGGGGCCCTATTGGCTCAAGTAACGTTGCCGGTAAACGGTTTATTTCTGCTTCCCCGTTTCGAAAGATCCGGTACCGTCACCTCTTCAACACATGCCCCCTGTTCGTAAGGTGTGCTAGGGTAGGGTAAGGACGGATAGCCTGGGTACATTACCACGACAAGTAATACGATACAGCCTAGCCTAAGGTGCTAAGCTCCAACAGCCAAGCAACGTATGGTAAAGACGGCTACACTGAAGGTGGCTCGCTACGGGACCTTTGCCTGATGCGAGACAAGTGAAGGAGAGAGAGGCAGTACGACAATATCTGAGCGGCCAGAGGAAGGGCAGCCCCTTCTTAGAGAGATGGCCCACCGTTCCGAACTACTTTACTCCTTCTAGATGATGACAGAAGAAGGGCACGTTTCTGCCTTCACCTTCGGGGACTTGAGAGGAAGCAGGGGAGGAGCCTAATTTCAAGCCATATGCTTTAACAGAACCCGGAGATGAAGTCATTGGGCCTCAAGTCGGAAGACGAAACAGTGGCATCAGGCAACTGCGCACATCCAGCCACTTTTTATATCGTCCATCCTCGTATATGAGGGCGTGTTCTAACATCTCGAGCCATATCCTAAGCGAGTCTGTCCACTAATGGCAGCTCCTGGACAAGTGAGACAGCCGAAGCTCCGCGAAGCTAAGAGACGGGGCAACAAGCCATAAAGGGAACCCCTGAGAGAAAGAGAATGCTGGAGTCGTGCCACTTGGCCGAGAAGATCGCCGTAAACGGAGACAAGGTAGACCTCAAGACCGGGCCCTAGCCGTCGCCAAGCTTGTCAGCTCGACAGCTGGACCAACGGTCGACCGGCTGCAGTAGGGCAGGTCCCTGACGAGCCAGACCCTGAAGACCCTTTACGCCTTTGTCCCGCTCGCTGGAGAAGAACGTCGAGGTTCACTCGAACAGGGACACAGCCGTGGTCGTCTAGGTATTACTAGCCCTAGCACGCCAACACGACTCTCGAGTGACATTACCTCATGATGCTGCAGGCGTCAGGTGTACGTGAGAAATGCTTATTTTCCCTTACAACCGAGATCATCATACTCTTGGCTACATGCTCACCGACACATGTAGATCAAGATTGCCCCTATCCCGGCAACACCAGACACCCCTCCGTCCATCCCTCCGTATCCGTGAGATGCGAGAAAAGGACGGTCTATACATGAATCCGATGGGTCGCCTACAGTAGCGTCATATATCCTCGAGGAGCCAAACCAACTTTGAGGTTCTTGCTCTATCGAAGACGCACGAAGGCGTCATGTTGTGGATTAGTTGACGAGGGTAGTGGGAAGAAGGCCGTCGACGCCTACCGTGAATCCACTCACACTCACCTTGGCACGTGTCGTCGACCTAAGCGCTCCCGATACGAGCACCCGAGATTCAGGACCACTCGAGTCAGACATACACCGGTTCTTTCTCGACAAGACCGCCATTACCACCAGTCAGAGAGGACAGAGAGCAGACTCCTTCTCGACTTGGGCGATGAGCGGCAGCCTCCCGGACGTGGTGAAACCAGAGGCGAAGTGAAGGGAGTGGCTTTGGCCGGTCAAGATGTATTGAAGGCAGACACGACAGAAAACAGCTGCATGATGCAGGCCGTTGTGGATATGGGCTGCTTCTCCAACCGGGCAAGACTGGGTGCGCGCGCGCGCACAAGTGTTCCAGCTCAGGATTGGGCGAGAGAATCCACGTAACCGCACCTTCGTTCTTGGGGCCCTTTCCGTAACCCATGTCCATGGTTTTCGTCCAGGAACCGCGGATCCTTTCGAGCGGTCTGCGTCTGCGGCTGCGTTTCCCGAGGGCGAATTCCACACGAGATGAAATTGCCCTACTGATGGCCAGGCTATGTCGCGCGTCTGACCCTCATAAAGCCCATGTCGACCCCTCCTTGAGGGAAACAAAACAACTTTTCTGAGAGTCGCCAACGTCAACAATGGTATGAATGTGAAAGCTGACAGAGTTTAGGCAGGGAAGAAACACGGACAGGCTGCGAGTTACCAGACTCGCCCCCACAAGTAAGTCGAATGGGGGGGAGAGAGAGAGAGCAGCCGACTATGAGATAAGACAAGGAGAGGAGAGAGGGGAGTAGAGTACAGAGTAACAAAGAGGTCAAGAGGGACTGGCCACTCGACGGGACGGAAATGAGCTCGGTACGAATAGTGGCCCGATGATGAAGGACGGCGGAGGCGGAGGAGGGAATACTCATCACCCCCGGGCAAGGCACAACCATGGACATGGCCGGCTTACCGTACAAAGAAGAGGAGAGGAAGACACTGACGAATGGCGTAGATCGAGATCTCAAAAGGGACGACGACATCGACGACAGGTCATTTTATATACTAGTCGAAACCCCCCAACGGCGGACGGGTAGGTGACCCAGAAGAGACAGACGGGAAGGCCACACCACAACGTGTCTTGCGTCCTCCCCTGCGCCGCAGCAAAGAAAATTTTGGCGACAAGCCCTGGAGTGGAGTGACTCTGGCATAAAGGCAGACCACCCCGAATCCCCCGACTGCCGGCCCTCCTTGGGTCCTTGGGCGCCGGCCCTCCTTCGCTTCCCGCCGCCGCACGACGCCGACACTCTGCAGAGGTCTAGGTATCTTGGGATACGCCTTCACGAAGAAGAAATCGGTTCACTTGAGCAGGTGTCGTAGTCGGCTGACTCTGCAAGACCCAGGACCCCTAGTTCCGGGGAAAGAGTGTGGCCCGCCGAGAGATCAAAGTCACTCCACGGCCACGGTGTATGGGCGAATCCCGTGCCATCGACCGTCTCCCGATTGCCCACGACCACGGTCCTCTGCCATTCGGTTCCATCCCATCCACCACTGGGATCGCCGTTCGCGGCGGCTCTTCCGGACTGTCACTGCTGACCCAGACACTGGTCTGGTGTCTTCTAGCGGCGGCCTGCGTCCACTAGGATCTTCTGGCCTTGCGCCTCGTCCGGCCGGAGTCTTCCAATCGTGGCTGGGTTCGCTGAACCTCGCCCGATCTTGGCTCCTGAGTCCTCGTGAATCGGAGGGCCCTCCCTCGGCTCCGGGATCGATAGGAACGACGGCGAAGTTTTGAAAAAGAAAGAAAACCCTCTATAAATCGCCAACGGCTTTTCGTGTACGCTGAGGCCCCGTGAGAACGGGAATCGAAAGGGGGTTCTTCAACCGATCAGAACCCCTTCGTCATCCCCGACACGACGACAAGATGGCTAACGAGCCCAACGACAACGACCACTTCTACGAATATCTCGTGGACGACCCGGAGGTAAGTCAAGCAAACAACCTGGTCCACATCGCTCTTTTCGTCCGATCCTTTCTTCCCACGGGGCCGGGCTATCAGGGGCTCGCTCCCTTTTTTTTGGTCAGGTCTCGAATCTACCGGCCGACTCATCCCACACATGCCGCCATACTGCCAGCATCGCCTCTGGCCCGACGCACACAGCGGCATAGGGTACGGTATGAGACACGGCAGACCAAGCGGTCGGGAGGAGGACACGATGCTACGCACCCACGTCGATCTGGGTTAGATCCCATAGACGGGAGTCCCGACAACAAGTCAACCCATGATCGAAGACCACCACGAGCTCCGGCGGCCGTTCGAAGTGTATGGTTGGATGTGAGGGAGCGGGAGTCGGCGCCGTATCCAAAGCCGAACTTTCGTCTGTGTCGACCCCGGTATGGGGTGATGGCAAGGTGATGTCTTCATCAAAAACCCATTCATGAGACGAGAAAAGCCTGCAAATGACCGTGTGGAAAGAGATTTGCTTTGGAAAGGAAAGAACGAAAAGAAAAAGAGGGCAAAGAAAGTCTGACCATATTTCTATCAGCAGATGATGGCTTCGACGCCGTTGTCCCCGCACTTTTCTCCCAACATGTTCGGAGGGGCCTTCGACGTCCGCGTTCGCGACCGCCCGCACCACGCCACTCGGCTCGGGAATCAGCCCATGTCGAGTCCAGGCCACAATCGACCCAATTTGATGGACGAAACAGTCAAGCGCGCGACCGTGAACCCAATTCAAAGCATCGCGGGTGTGCCTGGACCAGTCACGGCGCAAGTGCAACAGCAGCAGCAGCAGCAGCATCATCACCAGGTCCAGGTTCCCAACCTTCAACAGCCGCTCCATCATCCAGCTCTGGGTCTGGGGGGTTTGTCTGAGCTGGAGTTGACGGCTGGAGCTGCGGCTGCCGAGAACCAGGGTAACCACCACCACCACCACCACCACCACCAACAGCAACCAGACCAATTCGTTGCCGCTGCAGCTGCAACGCCGTTCGCTGATCACCAGGGTCTGCCCGCTCTGCTCCATGCGCAACAAGGGCATCTACAGGCACCCGCCACATGGTTCCCGCCCGGATATGGAGCCCCGACATATTGCGACAACCATCAGCAAGCCGCCGCTGCGCCCGTCTCCTCCTCTTCCTCCACCGCAGCTGTCACCGCAGCCGTCACCGTAGCCAATCCGCCCGTCACGATTTCTGCAGTGGGCGGACTGGGCAATGGTAACACTGGCGTATTCGACTTTGGCTTTGCTGCACCACCGCTGAGTGAGCAGTCGTTCCTTGGCGGAGACTATGCCAATATCACGCCACTTTCCACAGCAGCTGGAGCAGCCGTGACAGCTCACTCGCAGCCAACAACCGCCTTCGGTTTTCATTCCTCGCCATGGCGTCCCACGCTTCAAGACAGCAGCTCCGTCACTCTGACCCCGAACATTGCAGCCATCGCCGCGGCCGAGCTCAACCACGACGTCCGGAAACATAGTAAAGGCAGTATGGAGGACGACAGCGACGTCAAGGACCGCTCGTGGGGCGACGGCGACGGCGACGGAGATGACGACGACAACGACAACGACAACCGTGACCGGAAGCGAGGCGGCAAGGCCGGGGTAAGCAGCAGCACGTCGCCTAGACCTCGGAGGCACCAGCAACAGCGCAATGGCAAGCGCCGCGCCGTGGCCAACGGCACCGGCGCGGGCGCGGGCGCGGGCGGCGGTGCCGGCGAAGACGATGACGAACCCACCAGCCCCGCGGGTCGCACCAGCGTCAGCGGCCGATCGGTGAAGTCTGTCTCGGCCGCCTCGACGACGGGCTCCAGCAGCAAGACGACGGCGCCGGCCCCGCGCCTGCGCAGCGCATCGCGCACCTCCAAGAACGCATCGCAGAAACCCGCCGAAACCGCCGAGGAGCGCCGCACCCGCGCCTCGCACAACCTCGTCGAGAAACAGTACCGCAACCGACTCAACGCGCAGTTCGAAGGCCTCTTGAACGCGCTGCCGGAGCAGGTGCGCGGGCCGGCCGGGACGGAGGGGGCCGGAGGCGGGGGCGGAGGCGGAGGCGGAGGTGGAGGCGACGAATCGGATCCGCAGCCGGCCGATCAGGAGAGGCGGGTCAGCAAAGCCGAAGTGCTGGACATGGCGCGCCGGCACATCAGGAGCCTGGAGCAGGAGCGGGACGAGCTGCAGCGTGAGCGGGGGGATCTGTTGCGCAACCTCGAAATGATGGAGCGGGAGATGGCTGCCAACGGCGGAGGCCGGCTAGACGAGTTTCTCGACGTCGAGGGACCTCCGGACGACAGAGGCGAGTCATCGTGGAGGGACGCGTGAGAGAAGCCGAGTTTCTTCCTATTCTTCTTCTTCCTATTCTTCTTCTTCCTCTTCTTCTTTTTTTTGTCTGTCGCTCTACACACTCTCGCAGCACCCTCTCTCTCATGCGTCCGTTGTTGGTTGGTTGGTTGAGATATGAAGGCGTGTTCGTCATGCTGCTGCTGCTGCTGCTGCTGCAGCTACAGAAGAAGGGTGGTGTGGCGCGCGTGAGCCCAAAAGCTCGGAGGCAAGGGTGCCGGGGGGAGGAAAGCCTCGGAGCTTCTCCGACCGTCCGATGGCACGCCGCACGGCACGTTGGACCATGGTCATTGGCCCGGTCCTCTCGTGCTATTATTCTTCATGGCCCCTCCCCTCTCCCGTCTCAAACATCGGTTCGGTCGGCGGACGAGGTTGGGCTTTGGGTGTTTTCCTCTTCTTCTCCGCCCCTTGGTCCCGCACGGGTTTCCCCCGGTCTGTTTTGCTTGGTCACCTTTTGCAATCGCTTTCCTTTTCCCGTTCCTGTAATCCACTTTGGTGTCATGTCGATTGTCTCCGTGTTTCCCTTTTTTTTCTTTTCCTCCGCGGGACAATTGCGACCCAAAGAAATGTTTCATGTTGAAAGTCGATAACACTTGGTGGGAAGGGGATATAGAAAACCTTGGGAAGAAATGGAGGGGAGTGGTGGTAAAACAAAAGAATGGCCGAGGCATTACGATGAACGGAATGGAGGGAGGACACGAAGGCGCCATGTAAGGTATTGGATGGTGGGTGGGTGGGATGCATACATTGTATGTACTTGTGTGGGATGGCATGAACGGAGCGAGAATGAGAGATGCGTGACGACGGGAAGAGGGAAGGGTGGTTAACCATCTGCCGCGACGATGCGGCACTGGGCGGCGGTAGTTCGGGAGCACTAAGCAGCACCTCCACGATGTTTGAGTTATCATTATCATGTCTTGCAGACTTGGCATGACCGGCACATGTCGAATAATGCCGGGAACATTGTCCCGTGATGCCATGAGACCCTCCCTCCACCATGCAACCAACCCCGAATGTTGATCGTGATGCCACACCATATATGTCCGTTAATAAGCAAACATTTCGCGTGAATGAGAACAGTGATCATATGTCAGAAAACAAATCAAAGAGCGTCACCAATGTTTGGAACAAAATACGGAAATGTTTGGGACAGTAACGTCTCTTGAATTGGATTATTCGGCGCGTCAAATGCGTCCAAACCGCGATAAAAGTGCCACGCCTTTTCCATACCTAGTGAACGTGTCTCACCTATGAACCCACCTCCCTTCCCTGCCTGAGATGCTCGTCGCCGATACTGTAACCTCATCCACCCGCCGCCGCCTCCGCCACTGTTGGCGCTGCATTCCCTTTTTACAAGTTTTTTTTTTCTCTTTCGCCCAAATGTCGTAATCCATCAAGTCGTGTCCGGCGAGGTCGCCGCTCCACGACACTCGCCTTTTTGGTACAAAATAACAATAGCAGTTGTTGTGGTGGTGGTGGTGGTTGTGTGTGTGTGTGTGTGTGTGTGTGTGTGTGGTATGTGTTGCGGTTTCGGGTGGTAACAATAATAATAACCCAGGACAAAAGAACAGCTGCGGTTCTGATGTTTGTCCCTGCGCGCAGGAAGTGCGCCCCACGCCAATGCCACAATCGTGGGCAGTATAAACAAGAAAAGACGGGTAAGGAAATGAGCGAGAGTGATGCTGATTGTTGACAGCGACAGGTAACTTTTGGTCCTGATTCGATGGATCGGCGCTGGTCTATGCGAAATTGATGAGAATCCGTAATACAACCCCTTCCGATGTGTGCCAGTAAGTCTATGGAATTCGCGGCAGTGGTAGAGAAGTCGCCGAGATGTGTGAAAATAATGAGAAATGGTGAGTGATGCGCCGCCTAATGTGACCCAGGATCGTGTCGCTTCGCCGAAATGTGAGAGATGTGTAAGGCAACAGGTGTCAAGGAAACGGGTGTGGTGTCGTGTCTGAACACGCTGATGTGGGTGGGGGGTGTTTAGATTCGGCTACCAGAGTAGACCGGCGGGAAAAGCGCATATTGGCCCGGCGGGGGCGGAGTGCTCAAGCTCGTGGTTCGGGCACGTTGGCGCCGATGCTGCTTGATCGGCTCTTTCGTCGAGAAGTTCTCGCGGGAGAGGTTTGCTTTGTGGCCCTCGGAGACTGTACGCATGTCCCCAGTAGAGTGAGACGTCGTGAGCACCTCGTCGGACTCGGGCAGCGGCGTCATGATAGACGTCCGTCCCTTGGGTGACTCCAGACCGGGGAAGTCGTCGACGCTGATCGAGCGCGAGTGATCGATGCCTTCAGCCTTCGGGTTCCATCCCTCGAAGGTTGTGCTTCCGGTGTATCGTGTCAGAGCTGTCCAGGTCGAGTTGGTGGAAGCGTGGCGTGCTTCGGTCGAGCTTGTCTGCCCTGAAGAGTTGCTGCCCGTCGTGGAAGTGCTCGCGCGGTCTGGAACAAACAGCCCGGGAGTCTCTATCGACATGGTAGGCTCGGTTTCGAACGAGAAGTTCCTAATGTGCTGCCTGGGGATTTCTGCAGGATACTCATCGGCGTCCGACTCGGCGAGCATCTGCTGCCGGAAATCTCCAGGAATGAGAAGGGATGGTGACAGGTGAAAGCCGTGAGACTCCTTGAAGCTCGACGCATGAGAAGCAGTTCTGACGTGAAGATGAGACTGGCCGCGGTAGTTGGTCTCCATCCTGGGGTGGGAGAAGTTGGATCGCACCGGCAGCGTAGGGATCGTGGGGGTTATGGCCTCGTGCCCATTTGCCGTAGAAGTCGGGCTTGAAGGACTGAGGGCCGGGATGTCCGAGTTAGTTGTTGGTGCTGGCTTCAAACCAGCTGACAACGGCGCCACGAACACGTTCTCGGTGTCGAGAGGAGTTTGTACAACGTCTTCCCTGATCACTTCCAGCGAAGGTCGATCCCAGGCATAGTCGCAATCAGCCTCAACTTCATGCTCGTAACAGTAATCGATGTCGTCTTCCCAGCTTGCACGGTGTAGTATGTCTGCCATCTCATCTTCCTCCAAAGCCTCTGTTAACGCAGACTGGATGCCAAACATGTCGAAACTGCCCAATGTGTCTGACGCGCCACTTGGTGGTCTCTGCGAGTCATCTTGTTGCGTTTGCGCCAGTTGCCGCAAAACTGGTACAGAGTGGCTGCCCCTCAATGACGAATTGGTGCTGATTAGGCTGGCGCGGGAACGACGTCCCATGGGATACGCTTCCTCCTCCTCCGGAACGTCGGGCAGGGCCATGTCATATGAACAGGTTGAGCTGGCAGTGAGGGGCCAAGCGGCATCGTCAGGAGTCGTGATGGCGTGGGAGAACCGGAGATCCGCGTAAGCCTCCGCGCCGGCGACGTCAGAAGGGAAGTATCCATGAGCAGTTGCTGGGGGCTCCGGGAACTCAATTGGTGCCTGGAGGGCAGGGTGCTGAAAACTGTCCCCGGTTTTGGGCCGTTCCTGGGTGTCGACATCCTCCATGGCATTCAGGATGTCGTGTTTGACCGAGATGCGACTCGACTTCCTGGGCGGTGGAATAGGAGGGGCTGGGATGTCAGAGAGAATTGCCTCCTCGTCAATCGGTGACCTAGGAGGCCGCGGTGGCGCTGGCCGGGGCGGGCTCGAACGCAGTTGTTCCTGGGATCGAGTGTGCTTGATCAGCCTCCGCGGCGCCGAAGTTGGGCCAGTCTGGTGGGTGATGACCGGCGGACGGTTCAGAAACAGTTCGGGGTGGGTCTCATTGGATAGAACATCCTCTCGTGACATATGCAACGCTTCGGATGAAAAGTTAGAGAAGTGCAAATCCTCAACATCGATCCCCTTCAATGTGCCGGTGGTCGGGCGTTGGCCAGCGCGGATAGCCGAGAATTCGGAAACAAGTTCAGCGCGGCTACCTCTTTGAAGGTCCGGTAGATGGTCGCGTTTGGTGTGGGTGACGTGTTGGAAGTTGTACGGGCCCGATATTTGCAGTTTCCTGCCGAGGGTAGGGTCGTCTGCAAGTTCATCTTGTCTTAGAGTCTGTCGTCGACGACCGAAGATGGACGGGATGAGATGATCCTTGTTTGCCGAGGGCGGACCATCCAATACAAGCTCACCAGAATACAGAGAACTTCCAGAGGAGTTGCTGCTGCTTTCCCGCTTCAGCTTGGCTCTTCGGTTGAAGATGGTCTTGCCGAAGAGCTGGACGCTCTCGGGGCGTTCTCGAGACGGCATGCTGCTAGAAGTTGACCGGCCAGAAGACTTCCTAGACAAAGTGATGGTTTCCAGGGTGTGTTCCCACGACGGACGACGTTCCGAGGTTATTGAGCGCAGCGAGGACGACGAGCCTGAGGACGTTGTGACGTTGCTCTTGTGCTTGTCCAAGGCCGAGGCCCTCTTCATCTGCTTGCTCAAGGCACGGATCCTCTCTGGCGACGGCGGTCCATCAAGAGCAGGTTCAAACAGATCCGACGGAATGTTATTGGGGTTGGGCTGAGTTGAGAGAAGAGGAAGGGGAACTTGATCGTTGACAGAGGTTGGCAACGTCGTATCTTTGTTGCTGACGCTGCCTCTGTCCTTCCTCCGGGTAGGCTTGTAGGCCGAGTAATACGGCAGTGGAGCGGTAGCCCACATCTTGTTTTTCTCTTAATGCAGAGGGCGACGTCAGGCCAGGCGTGCCCCCTCTCAAGGCATCCCCTTCTTCTCCAGTGTGTTGTAGACGGGACGAACGTGTCGAGGCTTTTTCCCTGATGGTGCTCCTGGTGTTTACTTTTTTAAATATGGGCCAGGGGATCTGGATCTCGCGGGTTGGGTTCTGGGGCGTGTGAGGAGGCCGTTGTGGTGTGTGTGTGTGTGTGTGTATGTGTGTGTATGAGTCGGATGCGGGCGGGCGTGGGAGTGAGCGAATGTTCGCACGCTAGAGGTAAGAAAGGTTTATTAAGAACAACAACCAGCAACCAGCATCAGTCGTTCGGCTTCTTTTTGTTCGTCCTGAGGGAGCGACAGGTGACGGGAACTCAACTAGCTTGCGGGGGATGCGCCTGGGACTGGTAATATATTTAAGATGGTGCTGGTTTTCAATGCGTAGGAGCCGGGGGTCAGGATCCGAACATTGGGATCCGTCAACCTGTGATTTCTTGGGCGATGAACCACCAGAGCGAAGAGTCGAGACTGAGTGAGAGCAAGCAAAAAGAGAGTGAGAGGCACTGGACGGTACTGACTGGGGAGGCATGTCAGCGCCGCCCTGTTACCACCCTGCCCTGTACTTGCAGAACCTAGTCCCAGAATGCAACACCGCAGCAGGCACCCCCGTCCGTCCCCTCTTCAAGGATACTCGACCAGGGTGGACAGGGAATGAGGGATCTGGCTGCGAAGGTGTTGCTGGGGGGTGGGTGTGTGTGGCCGGCCAGGATTCCTTGTTGTGAGGATTGAGGGGGCTGTCGTTCGATGTGGGTGGGTGGATGAGTCTTCGTCTCCCTCTCCCGTTCTCTTGCCCACGCACGTACTTATGGTATCCGTATCGATTGTGCAGTAGAGCAAGCAAGAAGCAAGCGGACAAAGTTGTAGTTGCGGTAGCAGCATCGCCGGCAACGGCAACAATTACGCGAATTCGGCGTCGGGATACACGACGCGGCGATACCACCTGTTGAACTGACCATCGAGGGCCAGGGGTTGCTGGTCGGGGAGAAAATGGCACTGTGATAAACGTGTTTATCCATCCTCTTGGGATATTGACCCTGTCGCGTGTCCGGAATAAATGGACGAATGCGAGTGCGCATGTAATGACTGCAGAGCTCCAACAGCGCAGACACAAGTGCTGATTCGGCAACCCTGAGCCCGTCGAGATGAGCGGGTTGTTGGCATCGATACGGTATTCGCAGAGACATAGCAATGACTCTGGAACGAAATGTCAGAGGCGATGAGGTTCCGCCAGCACGGTTGGCTAATATCCCGGGGCGGGCTGGCTCTCTACTGCATGTGGAGTGTAATAACACGGGCGACGCCTTATGGGCGAATAAATGGATGAAGCCTGCTCCAAAATAGAAGACATGACCAGAGAAGGGCTGGAACGCAAAATAACCAAAGGAAATGAGATTGGACGCACTCGACCATCTGCATACGCGAAGTGTGTGTTGCGAAATGGCTTCAAATTTGAGCGCGTCGGGGCATGTCCCAAATGTCATGCACTGTGCCCGATGTTCGTGTCGATTCGATGTCGCTGGTATGCCGTGCCGTCAGCGTTTGGCCGCTGATGTCGCGCGTACGGAGTACTGGACCTGAACGTGCGCCGCGCCCAGCCGCCGAAGCTGACGGGATTAGAACACTCGTTGAACGTCTTTTCGCTTTGTCACCTCCTGAAATCCAAGGCGTTGATGAGGCGATCGATGATGGAGATAAAGAGTGGACAGTCCGAACGATTGACGAGAGTTTCTAATTGCAGCCGCCTCGATGCTTGCTTGACAGTTGCGGTCCACACTCCGGGGGGAGGGATGGATGCCTCGTGTTGCTGTTGACCTGAGATTCGATGTGACGCGTTATTTGCTCTTCGCTTCTTCTTCTTCCTGATTTTTTCCCCTTTTTTTCTCCATTCAACGCCGGACCATCGGATTCTTTGGCCAGCAAAGTCTTGAACAAACTCGGCCCCTGAAAGCTGAAGCTAGCGGGTGATGGCAGATTGTCTTACACTTGACGTCGCCATGTGGCAGATACAAGGAGGCGGTATGTCTCCAAAAGCAAGGTTGCGACAAATGTACGAATATTCAACGATTTGGATCATGAAGTCCGTTCTCGTATGCTGTAATACCAATAACTTCCCACGCGGTGCGTGAGGAAAGGAGATGCCGAGTCCGTGTGTCTGGACATGACCGGGTGGAAAAATGTTAGACAGACAGGGAGGTCCCGGATTGGACGATGACAAGCCGCAAACCTCTTCTCGGCTGGTGTTCGTTGCACAAGCCCGCTCGCATGTTTGTGGTGAGAGAGATGTTGAGGCCTGACGCCGATTTTGACCAGCAACCTTCAGCTATTATTTTTCGATGCATGTTTGTTCGTTGTATTCGTGGACGCAAACTCGATGAGCCACGTACGTATGCATGCTCCGATTGTAGCAAGCCACCAACACAAAAGGTCCTTCAATTCGTCAGGAGCTGCTCATGTTGAAAGCATTTTTTGTGACTCGTCCGAACACTGGCCAACCTTCTTTCTGATCGACCCGCTGGCATTGTCGAATAAGATTCCTGAGTCGCGCTTCGAACTGTCAAGAGCTTCAACTGAATTGACTTGCCGTTTCAACCCTGGTGCCCGTCATGGCTCAGACACTTCTGCCAGTGCTTTGTCAATGTATCTCCAACACCTAACCCCATTCATTCGTCTGAACTTTGACTTCTGGGATGGGTGGCCTTGGATGCTATGGCCAACCGTTTTTTGTGTCAACATAAGAAATCTCCAGACCACCACAAGTTTGTCTGAAGCCATACCGCGCAGGCGAGACGCATGATCGACAAGCATGCTGAAGCCGATGAACGTGAGTGATACTGTTGAGCCTGGCCAGATTGGCGAGAATCCCAGCCAACCAAGCGAGATGCTGCAGAACAGGGCGCTTCTTTACGCTACGTCGTCATTACCATAAGCCCGAGTTCGTATAAAACCAGCGGTCATGTGAGACGCATGCAACACGGTAACTGCACGATGTCATATCGCAGAGAGAGGGTCCCGCTTGCGTTTCGTCAGCCTCTGCTTTCTCATCATTTTCGTGGCTCGCAGTGGCTCATCTTTATGATGTGTTTGACGATTGCCAAAGAGAAGTGAGCAAGGCCAGATCCAGATTATGACAGATCATGATCGACGACTCCGAGAGGGCTGTGGTCCCCGCTGGAAAGCTTTTCTCAGTGCCAGGAGCAGTGAGGAGGCGGGCAGGGTTAGGTCTATTAGCGCGGGCTCGACAGACAGGGACCACGCAAGTGCTGGTTCAGCAGGTTGCCGGCCGTATGGTATTGCTTCTTTACACGCGAAAGGAGCCGTCTCAGGCCCATGGTTGCGAGGCGCCGAAAGCTGCCGCTGCCACTGCTGTGCAGCGTTATCCGGCATTTCCCATCATAGCTCATGATGAGCCGGTTGGGCTTTTCGGGCACATGCAGCTGATATCGCGGCGTCTGAGAGCGAAGCGGTCAAGCTTGCGACGGAGCCAGCCCCCCGGGCGCCAGAGTCTATACCGTACAACGCAGTGTCTCAAGTGCGGTGGCCTCGCCGTTAGGTCTGCAGTGGTAACGGGGGCTCTGAGACAACCCAAATATCCGGCCTAGGTTGAGACAACGGCCGCTGTTGGTAACATGGACGGCGGCGGCGACGGTGGGCGCTAACGGGCATGCCATGTCCCGCGTAGGTGCCCCGAAGGCCGATACCCTAGCTCCAGATCCACGATTGATTGGCAATGCAAGGCGCAGGAGAGCAAACTCGACCGACAAGCCCGCTGCCGTCTTCTGCCCTGTCGATATTTGTCGGTCGGTCGCTTCTGCAATTCCCCGTGAGACCCTGCCGGTGCTGGGAGCCCAAACGCCAGTGGGCGGAACAATCACACTCAGGGCTCAGGGGGCCGACAAGACAAGGCGATGCCGGGCTCTTCACAGTAACAGTCCACAGTTCAGTCTAGGTCGGCCCAAGCTGGGGTTTGTCAGTGACCAGCCACTTTTGCTCCAGCCTCCGTGGGGGATACGGAGTGCTGCTCCAGTCGGAGCACATGATATATCCAGATATTTCCCTATCGCCCTGTTTTGTGCTCCGCGTAAGACCCGTCAGCCCAGATAGTAAGGTGGAAGTGGTTTGGTCCTTTTGTCGATAATCGATATCATCGGAATGAGCAATGCCGGATGACGACAGCGGGGGTTTGGCTCGAGGCGGACACTCTCCTGCCCGGGTAGAAGAACGATGTTCAGAGGGCAGAGCGGAGAAGCACTAACAAGGCAGCTTGATGCGTTGATTATCGTCGGGCTATGCTGTGTTCTTTCTTGGCGAGCTTCGTGCCGGGGCGCTCTCGCAATTGAGCCATGAGCGTACTGTTCATATGTTGGAGAACAAGACTGCCATGGATACTTCGTATAATAATCTGCGCAAGCTGAACAGTTCGGCATCGGAAAGATGAAAGAGCCAGTGACCCGAAGCAAAGTTGGTACTGGAGTCCGTAGTCCGTCTGGCTGGTAGGGTGGCATGCCGCACGCCGCACTCGGCATCCCAGGAGAGCCTGAGTCGCGAGTACAAGGAGCTTTGGCCTGGACCAAGCCAAGGGCATCGGGGTCCTTTGGGTCCTCTGTTTACTATCCATAAATGCCCACTTCTGGCATCTTGCTCGTGTCCCCTCCCATTGCGGGTTGCGGGCATCGGTTGCTGCCAAAGCTCGTCAGAATGGTGGACTGGTATTGGCTACCAAAAAAAGGTATTCGAAAAGTGCGTCTTTTTTTGGCCCTCGGTCTCGAGTCTCGAGCTGGGCATTCCTTGGGAACTGCGTACGGCGCGCAAGTGAGGTGCCGGCGGCGGAGGAGTGTTGCGTGCCTGCATGGCATATCGCCCCAACGCACAGACGGCGACGGAGCCGTTTTGTTCTGTTCCCACCGGCCTGTCCCACAGAGGCGGGACGCCTG